GGTTTTAGAACTTTCACAAAAGTTATGGAGTTTGTTTGCTACCACAAATCACCCCCCAACATAATTTCTCATTATTCTTGTTACGATTAAACAATAATTATATCCAATTACCAGTCACCTCATTTAACAATCATATAATTTATCATAGTCATTAAATGATTATACAAGTACAGCCTAACATTTTCCCAGGGCCTACCAGGCCTATCCTTCCTTTCTAACTCCCCTGAATATTCCATGATTCTAGAAACATTTTATCTATATACTATCAAAGCGAGCACACCCTGAGGAAGCAAACAAAATGTAGCAGAAATTCTGTAGCCGTAGCAAGAGCTGTGGGGGTTGGGTGGATGTGGGGTATCAAGTTAAAGTGTAGCAGGAAGCCCTAATTAGTGGCAAAAAACAGGGGGGCTAGGCAGGGAATCACTCCCACGGATAGCTCACCAGCAATGGCTGGTCCCAGGGTAGGGCTGCACAGAGGTAGTGGCCCTGGCGGGGGACAGTGGGTCCCAGCGCAGCATGCACTGGCTTTGGGCTCCCAAGCAAGCCAAGTCACAGTGCCAAAGGAAAAGAAAAAAAACAGGTAAAACCCACAAGGCAACCGTATCACCAGTCAGAGGTACCATGCTGCATGACCACTGAGCTGATCGTCCCACCAGAAGGAAACCACAGGCTTTAACCCCCCCAACCCTCACAGGATCCCAAGCTGGCTCTCACCCATTACGATACTCCTGGAGCTGGGAAGGGCCAGGGGGAAATGACCAATTTGGGACACAAAAAAAAAAAACCAAACAAAAAATGGTTATGGGATAAAATCCACACCCAAGACAGCTGCTTACCAGGGTTTGTTGTTGCAAGCAGGCCCCCAGCCAAGTAATAATTAGCATAGACCCCATGATTCACAGAAGGCTGATCAATAATTCTTTATTAAGAAACCCATTGCTCTTTTATAGACAGTTACAATACAGGTGGACCTTATTGGTCCTCCAGTCCAAACACCATCACCACTGGCTAATTAAGAAACCACCCTTTGGTAAACAAATCTCCATAACACATTCCACATGTTCACAATACCAGGTGCAGCAAGTTAAGAATTGTTTTGCATTCTTTTCTCTAATCTTCTCACAGCCTTTCCCAGGGTGATGCCTGGGAAAGTTGTGTTTCTCTCTGTGGCCAGAGAGCTGCTGCCACAAGGGTTGACCCACAAGTAAGAACTGTGGTGGGTTGATCTTGTCTGGCTGCTAGGTGCCTACCAAACAGCTCACTTACTCCCCTCTCCTCAGCAGGACAGGGGAAGAAAAGATGAAAAAGCTCATGGGTCGAGATAAGGACAGGAAGGTCACTAACCAATTACCATCATGGGCAAAACAGACTCAACTTGGGAAATATGACTTCAATTATTGCCTGTAAAAAAAAAGAACTAAAACCCAAAAATAAAACCACCTTTCCCCCACCCTCCCCCTTCTTTCCAGGCACAGCTTCACTCTTGCCTCTTCTACCTCCTTGTCATGGTTTAAGCATAGATGGAAATTAAGCCCGACACAGGCCCTCTCCTCCCCTCACTCCCTCAAGAGAGATAAAAGGCAGAGATTCCGAGTTGAGATAAGAACAATTTACTGGAAACAGAACGAGATAAGAAAATGAACAGTAACAGCTACAATACTATTAACAACAGTGTATGAAAGGGTGATTACATGCAAAAATGCTCACTGAGTCTCACCCAATTCGGCATGACTGCAACCAGAGCCACCCCACCGCTCCATCTGCTACTTGTTCTGCTGGAAAAAGGAAGAAAATGGAAACTACCCCCTCCCCCCCCCCTTCCCGGAAGTGAGTCCCTTACTTCCACCCCACAACAATGATGTGAATGGTATAGAATAACAACCTAGACACAGCCACACAGCTCTAGGCTCTGCACCCTCTTGGCTGCTACCTCCCACTGGGGAATAGGCTGGGGCGTGAGTAAGAAGTTTGGAGGGGACACTGTAAAGAAATAAAGAAAACTAGTAGCTTAGTGTAACTTAGCATTAGTAACTAGATGTGCTGAAGCCTCAGGCTGTGAGCTGTGAATTTACACCAAGATACACTGAACTTTTACCTAGTTAAGTAAAAGGAGGCCCCAGAGCCAGTTTGAGCCAGAAGATAAGGAAGCAAGGAGGGCAACTACCCCTGTCAGCATAAGATGCAGCCTTAGAGGTAAGAGAAGAAATGGGTTCACCTAGAGACAATGAAGAGACCCAATGAAGAACAAGACTACCCCATACCATAATTTTACTATTGGACTGAACTGTCACATGAGGGGTGGGAAACTTGCATTGTAAGGGTATAATTGCCCAAGGATTTCTTTGTTCAAGGTCCCTCTCCTGAGGCATCCAGCTCAAGCTGTATCTCATCACTGTACCAAATAACCTAATTTGCTAGATTCTGCTTGAGACTCTGCTTGGGGAACCGTAGGGTAAAACCAAAAGGGAAAATGTCCGTGTGAGTGTGTGTGTCTGGAGTCAGCACAGGGTACCCATTGGTTCAGTGGAGCCATTCATCATGAACGGACTGTAAAGTCCTAGTGGTTGAAGTCTCAGGTGGTATGAATGTAACTCCTTGACTGAGTGTGAGATGAGGCCAATTTCCCTAACAGACACAGATGGGACAGCTGACCTGAACTGGCCAAAGGGACATTCCATTCCATTCCATTCCATTCCATTCCATTCCATTCCATTCCATTCCATTCCATTCCATTCCATTCCATACAATGTCATGCTCAGCAATAGAATTCGAGGGAAAGGATGAGGGTTTCCTTTTTTTGGGGGGGGAGAGGGAGGTAGCTGTTGTTCAGAGACTGGCTGAACATCAGTCTACTTCTGGAAGGTGATGAGTAATTACCTTTGCATCACTTGTTCTGGTTTTCTTTTCTTCATCTTTCTCAAACCCTGAGTTCTCTTGCTTTTGCTCATCCTATTTTCTCCGTGCCTTCTTTTTTTGTGGGGGTGGAAGTGGGGTGGCATCTGAGCAAATAGCTGTGTGGTGCCTAAGCTGCTGGGGAGGGGTAAACTACAACATTATTTTCACACACTGTTTTAGGAAATATGTAATGGTGTCAATTTTTTAAACATATATACTGTATTGGTTTTGCATGGTCTAGTTTTTGCTAGCAGGGGGGCTATAGAGAGATGGGTCCTGTGAGAAGCTGCTGGAAGCTTCCACCATGTCCAGCAGAGCCAGTCCCTGATGGCTCTAAAGATGGACATGCTGCTGGACAAAACTGGGACAATTAGAGAGGTTGGTAATGCCTCTGTGATGACATATTTAAGAAGAAAATCAAAACAAAGTCACAGTTTTTCTTCTAATAAAAGAAGAGGAGGAGATGAGAATATGTGAGGGAAAACAACATAGCAACACCAAGGTCAGTGAAGAAGGAGGAGGAGGTGCTCCAGGTGTCGGAGCTGAGATTCCTCTGCAGGCCGTGGTGAAGACCATGGTAAAGCAGGCTGCCCCTCTGAAGCCCATGGGCCCACGGGGGATGCAGAAATCCACCCACAGCCTGTGGAGGAGGCGCCCATGCCAGAGCAGGTGAATGCCTGGAGGAGGCTGTGCTCCAGTGGAAGACCCAGTGGAGAGAGGGAGCCCTTGCTTCCAGGCTGGAGCAGCCTGTCCTTGGAGGACTGCACCCCGTGCAAAGAGAGACCCATGTTGCAGCAGTTTTGGGAGGACTATGTGCCCGCAGGGGGAAATTCATGTTGCAGCAGGTGCAGTAGCACTGCTGGTTGTGAGAGTGGACCCATGCCAGAGAAGTTTACAGAGAACTGTCTCCCATGGGAGGGACCCCATGGCCTCACAGGGGAAGGACTCCTCTCCCAGAGCAGCGGAAGAAATTCTCAGTGGTGAACTGACCAAAACCCGCATGCCCTGTCTCCCTGTGCTGTTGGTGGGAAGGAGGGAGGGTCTGGGGGGGAAAACGTGTTTTAAGGGCTTATTTTACTTCTCATTATCCTCCTCTGATTCTGTTAGTAATAAATTCACTTTGCAACCTTAAGTTGAGCCTGTTCTGCCCTTGAATTTTTTTCTCCCAGTCCTTATCTCACTCATGAACCATTTGTAAATTTTTTTTCCCCTTCTCCACTGCCCATCTATAGCAGAGGATGGTGAGCGAGCAATTCTCATGGGTGCCTTGCATTGGGCCAATGTCAAACCACAACATATACCTAAATGCAACTTTACCTACAGTCAGTTTTATCAATGCATTTTATATGCAGTAGATAAATAGCTAACCATATCTGTTATCCAAATTTCATTTTTACAGTGTTCTATTACTTGAACACAAAGTTAGTTTCTATGGAGAATCTATTGGCAGCTTGATTATTTTAAAACTTATTTTTCAAGTTCAAAAATAACATTCATGGTAGCCTTACATTACACACGAGCCAAATCAATTTTTGTTATAAAACGGTGTAATGGATGCATGCATGTCTGATAGAGTGATAATAAATTTACTAAATTCTTATTGTTCACTTTTGTAAGCATTTTAAAAAAGCATTGTGATTTGCTTGGATGGATACACAATCCTTGATGGAAGAATTATTTAGACTGAATCTGTGGCACATTAAGAATAAAGCTGACAAGATCTGTTCTGCATATTCTTTTGACATGATTCCAGCAAGAGAAACAGCATGGTATAAAAAGTGTATAGGAAAGACTGTTCTTACCATAACCGTCAAAATCTGGAAATTGTAAATACATGTTTAAGTGGTTGAAAAAGTCAAAATCATAATTGTAACCACTCAGAAATTACAGTAAGAAATGTTATGCAGTTACATGTAGCTGTCAAAACAATGCATATCTTTCCTTGTCAGTTGGTAATTCTTTTCCAACAAGACAGAAAAACTTTGGCATTTGCAGGTTGTCCTGGTTTAGGGCAAATTTGGGAGAAAACCTGCAAAGGGGTTCCTCTAGAAAGCAAATTCAAGTGGCCTCTCCCCCAAATGGATCAGGAAAAGATTTCCTTGGAGAAAAGTGGAAAAAACTGTTTATTTGACAAGCAAAGCATTCACCAGCACAAAAAAAAAAAGAATAATATTAAGCAATAAAACCTCTTGCCGCTCCAAAGAGATGACAAACTCAGGAAATCCCCTTCATGGGCTGTAGCTCGGCTCACTCAGTCTGTTATCAGTCCCTCCAGCGCTGGAAATGCTGCAGCCCAGGCCAAGCCCCAGGGGACCACAAATGTGAGCTGGCGGTGCTCTTCTGGGTGTTCAGTCCAGAGCAGGTTTAAACAGTTCCAAGAAAAAGAAACACTAGAGTCTAGGGAACTTGTGAACTTGTCTGCCTCAGCTAGCTAAAAACTAACTAAAAAGCAAAAGAGAGCTCTGTCCCGGTGTCTGTCCGTCTGTAGACAACACAGTCCAGGAGCAGGAATGTGGAGGAGTGAGTGCAGTTTCTGAAAACAAACTGCATGCTTCTTCTCTCCCCCTCCCCCTTCCCTCTCAGAACCAGTCTTAAAGGTGCAAAACTTATTTCTGGGCTAAACAGACCAATGGGGATACAAGCATCATAAAGTCACCCCAGGACACAGGTGTTCAAAATAATTTTCAAAGTTACTACAGTCACAGCATTTTCTTTGCAAAAGGTAAACTGTACACCAAGGCTCAGAGGCTGTAAAAACTGGTTCCAAGTGGAAAAAAGTGCAAATATCCTGCACAGATAGCTTAAAGAGCTGCTGGTTGAATAATTTGCTAACAGAATCTTTGTTTTCTTTTTTGCATAGTTCACACATCACTGGGAATGTGACAGGGTGTGCGATTTTTGGCAAGAGCAAAAAAAGTGATACCTGTGTAAGTTGCCATGTTAGACATGCTGGATCCATGCAGAATTCAGGTAGAAGGCTGCTACCTGATGTTATTAGACAATGAATATTGATGTTGTTTTTGTTGAAGCAGTTCTGTAATAGCCAACAGCTTCTTAAGAACATGCTGTAGAAAAAAATACAAAAAAACACACAAACAACAAAAAAACCCCAGTACAACCCTACATTAGCAACTAGAAAAAAACAACACCCATCTTGCTTGAGAAGCATCTTCAACATTAACCTACCAGACTTAGAATTAGGTAGTTTAAAATATATTTAAATCCACAGCCCCCACACTCCCTCTCCCCAGCTCCAGTTTCACAGTCACTAAGACATTATTTCAAAAGGCAACTGTAAAACAGCAATATGCAATTTATCTGCAGCCATGGAAACCCATTAAGTCTTGCCAACTTAACCTGAGAGTTTGAAAATTAAACAGTTCTATCTGTTAAAAACAATCTGTAAACCAAAAATCTACTCTTGGGTATTTTCCCAATGTGAAAGTGCAGAACTGGGCAGGGAACATGAAAAAAAATTCTGGTGGAAAAAAAAAATGGTGATAATACAATTCACTACTGCACAAGCAGAAGCACCCTCTAACTTTCTGAAAACCTGGTCATTAAACTTGAACAAATGCAACTGAACATACAAAACAGGCTGAGAAATAGTATTGCTAATGCACTGTCAGGAGTTCAATAACTTTTTCATTATAGTAGAACTGTGTTCAGCTACAACAGGTTGATGATAAACATTAGGGCACTTATAGGTGAAGAAAAAAAAAAAAGATTCAAGAGGTTTTTTTTATGGAAACCCATGAGGAGAAATTACTCCTCTGAAGTAGAAATATAAGTGTATTGAGAAAACAGTGTCACATTTATGACCCTTAAGTGCTACAGATGCAGGCCTTGTGAAAGAAATTCCCTCCCTTATCTGTAAGCAATACATATTTAATATTGAAAACTTCTACTATCCTGACTTGCCAGTCTAGCCATCATCTTTGCTTTGTCAAGACTAGAAGTAGCTGTGAATTATGAACTTGAACATGATTGATTTTTTTCCTCTCATATGCCCCTGAAGAAGCAAATTTTAGTAGTTATTAAACTAGATTAGTTTTTAATTGCTATAATGTAGTGTTATCTCATTTTAAATTCCTTGATCTTTCTTCTGCCAAAGCTAATTGAATACAAATATACTTTCACCATTCGCAAAATTGCCTTAAGTGTTCCCAGTAATACCCTTATTTAAAAAAAACATTACTGCCAAAAATACATTATTTGAGTAACATCTGCTGAGATGAAATATAGATTTATCATCTATTTGGGTTTAAATTAAGGCCTTGAAAGAGTCAGGATATAGGAAGCTCAGACTTCAAACCATGACAATAATAAGAAATCTGATTACAATAAGTAATTTTGAAGCAATTAAATTAAGAACTATTTTTAAAACTGCCTCTTCAACATGAGTCATTAAATAGTTTGAGCTGATACTGATTAAATGTAAGGAAGACCATCTCTAAACCAAAAGGCTTTCCATAGTACAACTGCCACTGTCCCCAAATCATTAGCATTAAAAAAGGAACAGAAATTATCTCCTGCACAGCAGAGTATACTAGTCAAGCATACCAAAACATGTTACTGTGCAATAAGTAGGATTGGCAACTTGAAGTTCATCATAATTAGTAGACCATAGGCAAGTATATTACTTTTTGAGACAATGCATGAAGTCATGCAGATTTTTTTCCTCTTAAAAATAAGTTTTCATAAAAGCTGTACACAAGTTAATTATTTGGAACAGAACACTCATTTATAGCATTTACTAGAGAAGTTTGCCATGATTGTTTACAAACATAATAAATTAGGAAGCAGAAGTGAAGTAGTGCTAGAAAGCTAAGGAAAGTAAATTTAGATGTTTAGTTCTCAATTAGATGAGCTAGATCCTAAATCTAGAGACTGCCAGGAGACAGTAATTTCTTGAGTTTAGGCTTCCTTCCTCTAGAAACTAAAAACTTCACCTGGAAACTAAAGAAAAAAACCCCAGAAAAAACCAAAAGAACAAAACCAAAACAAAAACAAACAAATAATAATAATAACAAAAAAACAAAAAAACAAAAAAAAAACCAAAAAACCCCCAAAAACCAACCCCAAACTAATGAACAATCTCCTTTCTTGGTGGCTGAGCTTAGGGCGGAAGTTGAAAGACTAAGGAGTATTAGGGAAACTGAAAGGGAAATACAGATTGGTGGAGTTCCGCCCTTCCATCCTTGAGGGAGGCCCACCAGGAGTCAGAGGACTCCCATTCCTCTCATTGTCAGGCAATAGGAGGACGCCTGGTGGATGAAGGGGAGTGGAAATGGGTTATTACCTCAGGGAGGTAATAAAAATTCCTCCCGACCCCCATCACATACCCAGGTGCCACTTCAGAATAGGTATGAGGCCCTGGATCTAGAGGGGCAGCCAGATGACATAGAAGAAAATGATCTGCCCAGTAAGCCTCCCAATTATGCTTCATCTGTCAGACGGATCACCACCTCTAGCATTAAAAAGAAAAGAAGGGTAGTCGTAGTGGGTGACTCCCTTCTCACGGGAACAGAGGGCCCCATATGTTGACCAGACCCATCCCACAGGGAGGTCTGCTGCCTCCCTGGGGCCAGGGTATGGGATATTACCGAGAGACTCCCTGGGCTGATTCAGCCCTCTGATTATTGCCCACTGCTGATACTCCAGACTGGCAGTGATGAGATTGAAAAGAAGAACACCAGGGCAATTAAAAGGGACTTACGGTCACTGGGTCAAGTGGTTGATAGGGCAGGAGCACAGGTATTCTGCTCAGTCCCTTTGGTGGCAGAGAAAAACAATGAAAGGAATAGGAGAACCCACATTATCAACAAGTGGCTCAAGGGTTGGTGTCATAGGCAGAATTTTGATCATGGGGCAACTTTTATGGCACCTGGTCTGCTGAAACTGGATGGCCTCCATCTCTCTGTTAAGGACAGAAGGATTTTAGCTCATGAACTGGCAGAACTCATTGAGAGGGCTTTAAACTAAGTTTGAAGGGGGAAAGGGATGCAGCTGGGCTGTCTAGAAGTAGGCCCAAGGGTGGTAACCTGAGTTAGCGGTGAAATCAGTAGCCCAGCTGAGGTGCATATATACTAATGCACGCAGCATGGGTAACAAAGAAGAAGAGCTGGAAGCCATGGTGCAACAGCAAAGCTATGAGGTAATCGCCATCACGGAAATGTGGCGGGATGATTCACATATCTGGAGCACTGCACTGGATGGCTACAAGCTCTTCAGGAGAGATAGGAAAGGGAGAAGAGGTGGAGGGGTGGCCCTTTATATTAGGGAGGCTTTTGATGCCATGGGTAATGAAACTAGGGATGATGAAGTTGAATGCCTAAGGGTAAGAATTAAGGGGAAGGCCAACAAGGCTGACATCCTACTGGGAGTCTGTTATCATCCACCCAACCAGGAAGAAGAGGTGGACAAGTAATTATTTAAGCAGCTGGAGAATGTTTCAGGATCACCAGCCTGTGTTCTTGTAGGTGACTTTAACCTATCAGACATCTGCTGGGAACTTAATACAGCAGAAAAAAGGCAGTCCAGGAAATTTTTACAGTGTGTGGAGGACAACTTTTTGTCACAGCTGGTGAGTGAGCCCACAAGGGGAGGGACTATGCTAGACCTGTTGTTCACAAATAGAGATGGGCTGGTGGGAGATGTGGTGGTTGGAGGCCATGTGGGGCATAGTGATCATGAAATTATAGTTCTTGATATTTGGTGAAATCAGGAGGAACATCATTAAGACTTTTACATTGGACTTCCAGAGAGAAGACTTTGGCCTATTTAGGAGACTTATTCAGAGAGTTCCTTGGGAAACAGCCCTTAAAAACAAAGGAGTCCAGGAAAGGTGGGCGTGCTTCAAAAGAGAGATCTTGAGGGCACAGGAACAGACTGTCCCTGTGTGCCAAAAGATGAGTCAACGAGGCAAACATCCAGCCTGGATGGGCAGTGAGGTTTTGAAGGAACTTAGGAATAAAAAGAGGTTGTATCATCTTTGGAAGGAGGGTCAGATCTCTGAGGAAGTATTTAAAGGGGTTGCTAGGGCATGTAGGAAAAAAATTAAGGAGGCCAAAGCTCAGTTCTAACTTAATTTGGCAACTTCTGTAAAGGATAATAAAAAATGGTTTTACAAATATATTAATGGCAAAAGGAAGAGTTAGACCAACTTTTGTTCTTTACTGAACGTAGGAGGGAACTTAGTAACTGCAGATGAGGATAAGGCAGAAGTGCTTAATGCCTTCTTTGCCTCAGTCTTTAGTGGGAAGATGCTTGTCCTCAGGACAACTGTCCTCTTAGGTTGGTAGATGTTGTGAGGGAGCAGAATGGTCCCCCTGTTGTAGCAATGTATATGAACAACTTAGGCCTCAGTGTGCACCAGCCATACCATCTGTAACTGTTCTTATCAGAATTTTCTCAGGGCACTGTGGAATTCATCAACGTTACTAAGACATAAATTGTGCTAAAATAAGAACAAAGAAGCTGAGAAACCTCATACCAGGATCACAAGAACTAGATAACAGAGGACTGTGAAACACCTGCATGGTAACCAATCACGGACATTGAGAAATGGAGGCAGAGAATGAGGGAACAAGACAAAGGCACTAATCGAGAAGTGTGATCTTAGTAGTTTGTAGAATCTATAAAAGTGTGTGTAATGTAAACAATAAATGGCTTCTGCTTGATCATATTGGTCAGTTGTTCAGGAGCCCTGGCTTTCCTGCAATACCCTGTTATCCAGGAGGAGGTAGTCAGAGAACTGCTGAGCCACTTGGATGTTTATAAATCTATGGGACCAGATGGGATCCATCCCAGGGTGATGAGGGAGCTGGCAGATGAGCTTGTGAAGCTGGTCTCCATCATTTACCAACAGTCCTGGCTCGCTGGTGAGGTTCCAGATGACTGGAAGCTGGCAATGTGATGCCCATTCATAAAAAGGGTGGTGTCCTGGTTTGAGAGGAAGTGAGTTTTTTGGGATGCTGTGGTGAAACCAATAGGTGCTCAGATTTGAATATTGGCATCTGGTGTGGCCACTGAGGACATGGATACTCCTCTGAGAACACAGGGGGTTAAAAGCAGAGAACCCCCAGGGGGAAACTCTCTTGGGTTCCGGGGTGAAAGAGGTCAGACCTCCCCTGCCTGGCTGCAGGCTGGGCGGGGGAGGGGAAGCCATGCAGCTGGGTGAGGTAGGGCCTTGGACAGAGAGGGGAGGTGAAGAGGCCCTTGCAGGATGGAAGGGTGGAGGAACATTGGAGAGTCATCAGGCAGCTACCCCCCCAGAGAGAGACAGAGAGCGAGCCTGTGCCGGTGCTTGTGCCACCTTGCAATTTGATATTGTGTGCGGGCAGCACGGCTGGCTGGGAAGGAGAAGGGGGGGGGGGTGGCGAGAAGGTGCCCGGCAGGGCAGCTGTGGGAGTTCTGGACAGGCAGAGCCTGATATTTTAACCCTTTTCTTGGATGATGGAGACCTTACAAATGCTGATCCTCCTGGAGCTGAATGAGAAGAGCCATAGGGATGATTAGCAGGAAATGGGCAAGTGTGATGCAAGTTTGTGCAAGTGAAAGGTGTCCGAGAGAAGTTGAGAAGAATTCTAGGTGGCAGGAGATGATGGAGTGGCCTTTGGCTGGACTTTTCTTGTATAGCCATGGACAGAAACATTTTTCCTGTGTCACAGAGACTGCATTTAGGGGGGAGGCAATGGCTCGGAGCCAAGAGAGTTCAGTGTTGTTATGTGAAGGAGTGCGTGAACAGAGACGACGGGTGAGGAGGGTGGTGGTGTTGCCCTCTGTCTTCAGGGAAGGAGAAGATCTCTGTTCTTGAGACCCCCTCAGCCCCAGGGGGTGAAATTTGGGGGGGACTAGTGTCCCAAAAGTGAGAGAATGTGCTCTTTTTGGGACTGGGCAAAGCAGCCTTAAAAGGAAAACCCAAGAAGCAACTCTGGTCCATGTGCAGTGGTGAGAGCACTGGACATGGAAGGAAGATGTCACGATGGCAAATGATCTCTCGGCGGTGCCACGTGCGACATGGAAACACACCAAGTTTCAACTGTGTTTCCAGGGGAAGCCTATGGCACAAGAGGGACTCCTCTCTTCTTGATGAACTGAGAATTGATTATCTGAAGGGTGGTGGTGGACTGAGAGTTGGTGATCTGAGGGATGGTAACTGAATTGAGAATCCAAGGTTTTGTCTTACTGTGGTGTATTGGGAATTTGGTGGGGGGAGGAGGAATGTTTGGAAGGTTTTCATCCTGAGTTCTGTGTGTTTCTTTTATATATTGTAAGTTAATAAAGTTTTTTTTTCCTTTTATTCCCAAGCTGGAGCCTGCTTTGCTCTATTCCTGGTCACATCTCACAGTAGACACCAGGGAGAATGTATTTTCATGGGGGCACTGGCATTGTGCCAGTGTCAAACCATGACAGGTGGGAAGGAGTATCCTGGTAATTATAGGCCAGTTAGCCTGACTTCAGTGCCTGGTAAGGTAATGGAACAGTTTATATTGAGTGTCATCACACAGCACTTACAGGATGTCCAGGGTATCAGACCCAGCCAGCATAGGTTTAGGAGGGGTAGGTTGTGTTTGACCAACCTGGTCTCTTTTTATGACCAGGTGACCCGCCTGGTGGATGCGGGAAAGGCTGTGGATGTTGCCTATTTGGACTTCAGCAAGGACTTTAACATTGTCTCAAACAGCACACTCCTGGAAAAGCTGGCAGCCCACGGCTTGAACAGGAGCATTCTTTGCTGGGTTAAGAACTGGCTGGATGGCCAGGCCCAGAGTGGTGGTGAACGGTGCTGCACCCAGCTGGTGGCCAGTCACCAGTGGTGTCCCTCAGGGGTCTGTGCTGGGGCCAGTTCTGTTCAATATTTTTATTGATGACATGGATGAGGGTACTGAGTCTTTCATAAGTAAATCTGAAGATGACACTAAGCTGGGGGCATGTGTTGAGCTGTTGGAAGGTACAAGGACTCTGCAGAGAGACCTGGAATGGTTGGATGGATGGGCAGAGTCCAATAAGATGACATTTAATAAGTCCAAATGCCAAGTCCTGCATTTTGGCCACAGTAATCTCCTGCAACACTATAGGCTGGGGACGGTGTGGCTGGACAGTGCCCAGGCAGAAAGGGACCTGGGAGTACTGGTTGACAGCCAGCTGAACATGAGCCATCAGTGTGCCCTGGTGGCCATGAAGGCCAACTGCATCCTGGCCTGTATCAGGAATAGTGTGGCCAGCAGGACTAGGGAAGTCATTCTTCCCCTGTACTTGGAACTGGTGAGGCTGCACCTTGAGTACTGTGTCCAGTTCTGGCCCACTCAGTTTAGGAAGGACGTTGAGATGATTGAGCACATCCAGAGGAGGGCAACAAGGCTGGTGAGGGGCTTGGAACACAAGCCCTATGAGGAATGACTGAGGGAGCTGGGGTTGTTAAGCCTGGACAAAAGGAGACTCAGAGGTAACCTTTGTCACGGTTGCAGCTGGTCTGTAGCTGCAAAGATATATTTGGCCATAACAGACCCCCAAACTCAACAAGCCTAGAAGTAAGCAAGTCCCTGGGTAAGTAAAGATAGGATGGATTTGAACTCAAGCAGAGAACCCCAGCCAATCCCATTCAACCCTGAATGCAGACACATCACTGGCCAGAGAGCTGGGCGGTGGTGAAACCCCAACCAATCAGTTGTCTAAGGCTGGGAATTTTGAACCCCCTGTCTAAGGGGGTGGCCATAATAAATCTTTGTTGTTTGTCTCATGATCATCGGAGAGTTCTGTCTTTTCTGTCTCCAACCAACAACCCAACGTAATAGACCTTATTACTCTCTACAACTTCCTGAAAGGTGCTTGTAGTCAGGTGGGGGTTGGTCTCTTTCTCCAGGCAGCAACTGACAGAATAAGAGGACACAGTCTCAAGCTGTGCCGAGGGAAATTTAGGTTGGATATTAGGAAAAAGTTTTTTACAGAAAGAGTGGTAAAGTACTGGAATTGTCTTCTCAGGGAGGTGGTGGAGTCACCATCCCTAGATGTGTTTAAAAAACGACTGCATGTGGCACTTGGTGCCATGGTTTAGTTGAGGTGTTAGGGCATGGGTTGGACTCGATGATCTTTAAGGTCTCTTCTAACCTAGCGATTCTGTGAAAAAAAACCCACTAAAACAAACAACACAACCCCCCCAAAACCCCAAAAGAGAAAAAACAAAACAAAATACCAAAAACCTAATCAAAAAATCCCCAACCCACTGCTTTAAAACGTCTTTGGATTTGTTGTATAAATACTTAGTTCATATTTTTGAGCTTCTTTACCTTTACAACTAACAACCTCCTGGTGAAATGTACATATTTATCACTCATACTGCTGAAGAGAAAAAATTACAAAGGAACCATGATGTTAAACAATAACTTTAGTTAGACATGCTATCTCTATGTGTGATTTTTGTTAATAATTATAGTTTACCTGCATTACACCTCGCTCATTGCTAAGTGTCCGAAGTTCATCTGAATGAGCCACACACATCTCATGCAAGGCTGCCAGATAACGAGATAAGTCAGTTCTAGAGTAATCTGTAGTGTCTGGAAGCTCAGGAACATTCTTTAACAAAAATTATGAGAACAGATTTAGAATGGTGAGTAGCCAGGCATAAAAGAAATTAAATTACAGTTCCCCACACCCACCAACAGTTGTTTTGATACTGTGAGCAAGTACCATGTTTTTCTTCACAATTAAGTCTTCCATCCATGTTATCTAATAAAAATAATTTATTTCCTTCTCTCCACAATCATCTATTTTATGAAGACAAATTATGGTTACACATTTCACATATAGAGATCACTGAATACACAGCAATTCCTATTCCTAATAGGAGAGTTTGATGCTGCTATGCTGTCTCTGAGCTGTCTAGAAAGATACTGAGAAAAAGAGATTCATATCATATCTTCCCCCCAAATGAGGGGGATCCATCCATGAGATGGTTTTTGTTTTATTTGTTTTTTTTTTTAATTTAAATCAGGCAATAACAATAGCAAAAATGGACACCAAAAAATCTCCAAACTATCAAGTAATACTAATAAAATAATGTAATTAAACCAGTAGATGAATCAGTTATTTTAAAACCCAACAATTTTCCAAGTCCTCATGCATAATCTACCATTTAAAGAAAAACAAGTGTATCATAATATGCAGAAGTTGCCATTTAACCATAAAAAGGTGACATATAGCAATTTATCTGAATGACACACTTCAAAACAGTAATTCTTAGAGATTATCAAAATGGTCTGAGATGTTTTCTAGGTCACTTTTAATGGAATCATTCAGGAATAATAAGATAGGCATATTTCTTTCATCTTTTTTTCAACAAATTATTGATTTAAACATAAACATATATACATACATGAGCTCCAAACTCATTATGACTATTATACACAAAATGGTTTCAAATTGAACTGAAACTATTATTTTCTTTTAAACTACAATATCCAGAATTCATGCAGTGAGACATTTTGTTATGTGTAACTAAAATAGAACACAATATTTTTAAAAACTTCAATTTTTTCAATGTCAGGTCAAAATCACATGAGAAATTAAACATAAGATTTTCTTTATTTTAAAATATTTTTTAGAAGGTTGGTATTTTTGTCTGAAAGCCCTAATCCTTGGGGAGAAGCTCAAATAGATCTCGTGTCTACAACAGTACTTTCTAACAGGACATTTGATTGGTTTTAATTCTGTGCGACAGGTCAGCAATCTGCAGTTCCTAAACATGCACAAGAAAAATATTTCAGTAACAAGCATTCAAAATTGCAAGGAAGCTGATGCATTTTTGAACTAGTTAACAAGGACTATAAAGAATTTTAACTCACAATGTTGCTATACAACTTGAAATTTCTCTTTTTAAACCACTTACCCCAAGTTCATCTAAAAACATGATCATGCGATGTTTGTTGCTCTTGATAAATGGATTTACCCCCTCCATATATGGCTCCTGGTAATTTTTAAAAGTATTTATTAGAACAAATTGATACTGATTTAACAGTCATACCTGAACATATTGCAATCAAAGACAAATGACACTGCAAAACAAATGTGTCATCTTTTTCAAGTGAATTTATGATTACTGGTGTACAACCAATGAAAAGATTACACTTTTTTCTGCACCAAATGGATTCTGAAATTGCTTATATATGCATTGTGACATGAAATGTTACATTTCTGAAATAGTGAAAATAGACTTTTTTCATTGCAATTATAAAATTAAGAAAAAAACTTTCAGAGGTAACAACATCAGCAGCATCAACATCAGGACATAATTGCCCTCCTTTTTGTTCTTTCATTAATGCGTACATTCCAAGTTGCGAGTGTCAGACAAATGGCATTATAATGGCAGCCTGAAATTTCTTTTATTATATTTAAGTCAACAGATTTTTATTGTTCAACCATGTTGTGACTTGGGAACCAGAACAGGCCAATTGTTGCTGGCATTCTTTTAGTGATGCGATAGAAAGTTTAGTAAAAGCTGAGGCTTTCAAAGGAAACTTGTAAAACTAATTTACAAAATTATGTCAAGCAGTATGAGAACAAGTACAAATAAAAGGGGTTTTTCAAAATGCTGTACCAACAGAAAACACCAGTCTAAAGAATAAGTAAAGAAAAAGTGTATGTGTGTGTGTGTGTGTGTGTGTGTGTGAGCCTCAGGTTGGCAGTTAAGATGTTTCTAAATTAAAATACTCTATATCCAGGCTGGAAGTTCAGTCCTAATTGGTCTCAATTTGAAAGTGTATTATTACAGAATTACAGAATTCACAGAATCACTAGGTTGGAAGAGACCTTAAAGATCATTGAGTCCAACCCATGCCCTAACACCTCAACTAAACCATGGCAGCGAGTGCCACATCCAGTCTTTTCTTAAACACATCTAGGGATGGTGATTCCACCACGTCCCCAGGCAGACCATTCCAGAACTTTATCACCCTTTCTGTAAAAAACTTTTTCCTAATATCCAACCTAAATTTCCCTCGGCACAGCTTGAGACTGTGTCCTCTTGTTCTGTCAGTTGCTGTCTGGTGAAAGAGACCAACGCCCACCTGACTACAAGCACCTTTCAGGAAGTTGTAGAGAGTAATAAGGTCACCTCTGTCTCCTTTTCTTCAGGCTAAACAACCCCAGCTCCCTCAGTCATTCCTCATAGGGCTTGTGTTCCAAGCCCCTCACCAACCTAGTTGCCTTCCTCTGGACGTGCTCAAGTGTCTCAACAGTCTGCCTAAACTGAGGGGCCCAGAATTGGACACAGTACTCAAGGTGCGGCCTCACCAGTGCTGAGTATAGGGCAAGGAGGATCTCCTTGCTCCTGTTGGCCACACGATTTCTGATACAGGCCAGGATGCAGTTGGCCTTCTTGGCCACCAGGACACACTGCTGGCTCATGTTCAGCTGGCTGTCGACCAGTACCCCCAGGTCCTTTTCCGCCTGAGCACTGTCCAGCCACACCGTCCCCAGCCTATAGTGTTGCAGGGGATTATTGTGGCCAAAATACAGGACTTGGCACTTGGATTTATTGAACTTCATCCTGTTAGACTCTGCTCATCCATTCAACCGTTCCAAGTCTCTCTGCAGAACCCTCCTACCTTCCAACAGATTGACACACGATCCTAGCTTAGTGTCTGCAAACCTACTCATGAAAGACTCAATCCCCTCATCCATGTCATCAATAAAGATATAAAACAGAACTGGTCCCAGTACAGACCCCTGAGGGGTACCACTGGTGACTGGCCACCAGCTGGATGCAGCTCTGTTCACCACCACTCTCTGGGCCCAGCCATATAGTATTGTCCTAGGGTGACGTTATGATGCTTGTATCCCCATTCATGTGTTCTGTTAATGTTGGCTATTATGTTCTGTACTTTTAAGACTGGCTCTGAAGAGGGAAAGTTTTGTTTTGGTTTTCTTATCAGCCTGGTGGGACACAGACTGCAGCTTTTGCTTTTTCTGCTTTTGCTTTTCGCTTTGCTCTCTCTCGCTCTTGCTTGCTTTGCTTCTGCTTGCTTTTGCTTTTGCTCATTAGCTAGTTTAGCTAAACTGTCCAATTTCTTCCTGGACTGTTTCTCCTTTCCTTTTTCTGACCATTTCGAACCTGCTCCGGACTGGGACCTGGGAACACCGAGAGTTTGCACCTTGTGGCCTGCAGCAGCTGCCCCAGCTCTGGAAGGACTGAGAACAGAGCAACCACCCCCAAGAGAGACTTTCTGAATTTGTCATCTTTTTCAGAGTGGTGCCATCTGGTATTGTTCATTTTGTGTGCTGGGGGGTGCTGTGCCTGTTAAATAAACTGGTTCTTTCCACTTCTCTCTGAGGAATTCTTCCCAAACTGGTTGGGGGGAGGGGCCGTGTGGGTTTGCTTTCTGGAGGGGCCCTCCTTTGGAAATTCTCTACCAAATTTTCCCTAAACCAGGACAAGTATATAAAAGAACATGGATGTGGAATGTATTTCAAGGTTCTATACAGAGACATACAAATATTACTGAAAGATGTTTCCCCATTTTGACATGAAATAATCAATGGAAATGCAAAAAGGCTCCCATCATCTATTTCAGGCAAATGATTCATACTTCTTGAATAGATTTTTTCTAATCACAGCTTTCTACTCTAGCATTTCTCAGTTGTCTTTTTGATATGGAGATTCCTAAAGAAAATTTACTCATTTTAGCATCACATCAATGTTTTCTTTGTGGAGGGATGGCTGCCTGCCTCTCTTCTCCCACTTTTCCAACTCCAACACTCATCTTTTTGACTAGGGGAAGACAGTAGACATGGTGGTTTTGGATTTTAGCAAAGCTTTTGATACTGTCTCTCACAGTATCTTTCTGGATAAAATGTCCAGCACACAGCTAGAAAAAGTCCATAATACATTAGATGAGCAATTGCCTAATGGGCCAGGCTCAAAGGATCATAGTAAATGGGGTTATAGTGAAATCAGGCTGGCAGTCAGTCATCAGTGAGGTTCCCCAGGGCTCAATTTTAGGAACAGTGGTCTTTAATGTTTTTATAAATGATCTGGACATAGGAATCAAACATACATTAAGTTTGCTGATGATAAAATAGGAGGAGCTGTGGACTCCATCAAGGGTAGAGAGGCCTTACAGACTGATCTGGATAGACTAGAGAGCTGGGCAATCACCAAGCATATGAAATTTAAAAGGGCAGGTGCTGGATTCTGCACCTGGGATGGGGTAATCTTTGCTATACATACAAATTGGGAGACAAAAGGTTGGAGAGGAGTCCCACAGAAAGGGACCTGGGGTCCTGGTTGATGCCAAGTTGAATATGAATCTGCAGTGCCCTGGCAGTCAGGAGGGCCAACTGTGTCCTGGGGTGCATCAGGCAGAGCATCACCAGTTGGTCAAGGGAGGTGATTGTCCTGCTCTGCTCTGAACTGGTATGGTCCCACCTCAAGTACTGTGTGCAGTTTTGGGTGCCTCAATATAAAAAGGACATCAAACTATTAGAGGATGTCCAGAGGAGGGTAACCAAGACATTGAAAGACCTTGAGGGCAAGAGCGGCTGAGGTCACTTGGTTTGTTCAGCTTAGAAAAGGCTGAGGGGTGAGCTCATCATAGTCTACAACTTCCTCAAGGGGAGCAGTTAGATGCTGATCTCTTCTCTCTGGTGACTACCAATAGGACATAAAAAAATGGAATGACGCTTCGTCACAGGTAGTTCAGATTGAACTTTAGGAAAAGATTCTTAACTGAGAGGGCGGTCAGTCACTGGTACAGCCTCCCCAAGAAAGCAGTCATGGCACCAAGCCTATCACTTCAAGGACAATATGGGTGATACCCTTAGTCATATGATTTACTTTTAGGTAGTCCTGCAGGGAGCATGGAGTTGGACTTAACGATCATTATGGATCCCTTCCAACTTGAGATATTCTATGATTCTATGAATTCTAGAGTATGACTACTACCCTTTTTGACATTGACAGACAGAAAAAAAGAGTTCACATACTTCCACTGTTGTATTTGAAATTAATGTCTGAGTTTATCTGATCTCATAGCATAAAAATATGGCTACATCACTCTATAATGCTTACTAGCATGGCCATAAATTTATCAGTTATTTTAGCATGTCACTGCTGTTGTTCATACTTCCAGACTGAAAATCTTTATGGTAAGTACCAAATCATTCACATAAGTTTCTAGATGACTCATTCTGAAATTATTGACTCCTCTTTCTAAATCAGCCATACTAGCCATACTAGGTTAAATCAATACCCTGTTGAGCTCCAATTAAAGAGGATAGAAAAAAAAATGCAGGAATAAAGCCTCCTTGCTGATAAGACACCCAGGTCACACATCAAGATTTGCATAAGAATAATACAGACAAAATCTGTTTCTGTTAACATGAACATGGCAATCTTCTAGACTGTTCTCTGTAAAATTATATTCACCTTAGCTCCAAATTCAACCAGATTTGCTAAATTCTGCACAGACTTGGCAACCAGCGTCAGTGTTCTTGCAGCAGTAGGGGAAGGAGAATCTGATAGGAATAGAAAGTAGGATGTTACTGACCACTTAATTTAAAACCTCCAGTAGTCACAAGAAAATTCTCTTCCACAATTTGTTATCATGGAATTCAATACTTTAAATGCTGTAAGAGAACTGCATGTGAAAAAATTCTCATGATCAAGTAAACTTTTGGTGTTTTAGTAATTATGTCCACAATAAACATCAATATGCATATCTGACAGTTAATTTAAGACAATTTATAGGGTGAAGACTCCAAAGTGAATTATCTCCCCTTAGTTTTAACCACTCCGCTTTCATCAATAAGGAGAGACAAATGGGAGAAGATATAGGTAAAAAAATAACAGTTTACTAAAGATAAAACAGCAACAACAAAGATAACAGCAATAACCACTAGATACAAAGGTGCTGAGTCACATGCTCCCCCTGGAAACAGAGAAAACAAGGTAGCAGAGAAGCCTCCTCCTCCTAAGATGGAGGCCACCGTGGCAGCCCATTGGCCCAGGGGACCAAGCCAAGATGGCAGAGAAACTCCCCTTCTCCCAAGATGGTGGCCACTGTAGCAGTCCACATGGCCCAAAGGACAAAGAGATGGCAGAGAAGCCACCTACTATGGATCACACAGTTGAGAGAGAACAAAGTAAAACAACACAGCAACCAAGCCTCTGCGGTTCCAGAACACTCCCTCCCCCCAAAACAGGAGAGCAGGTCCAACCACTCCTTGGCACAGGGCAGGCAGTAGCAGTGAAGGTACTGTGAAATTCTCCAAAGCCCAGGATGAGCATGAGCTCCTTTGAATTGACAAGCGGCAGACTAACAACCCATCAAGCAGCAAAGGTGTTGCAAAATTTGCTCCGAAACAGCTTCGGATTGTGAAATGCAGCTTCTCAGGTTGCCCCATTACAGCAAGGAAGTATGTTAAAAAATTTGCTCCAAAAGAAAAAGAGACCCCTTTGTTTGTTTTGGTTTGGTTTTTTTTGGGTTTTTTAAATGAAAAGTTCTAACAACCCTATATAAAGCCCATAAACTTACCTTAGTGAAAGTCAAGAATATTATCTGGACTTCTAAACAGGACTAACACTTACAGACAAGCTTAAAAGGGATTACACAAATTTATGGATAACAACTTAATTTATGGCTAAAGAAACAGTGGTCTCAATGCAGTCCCCAAATTAGAAAATAATATAATCTGAAGATTATAAAAATAATAAAGAAATTATAGGAAAGATGTGTGCTAATGTCTTTACAAACAATTCCATGGGTGAAGGCATGGGTGTTAATGTCTTTGAAATGGGTCTTAATGTCTCTACCAACTTCAAGCCACAGGTTTTTTACAGAACCCAGAGAGTTTGACTCCTGAAACAGAGAAGTGGGTCTGCACAAGCCTGAGTTTCTGAACTTGTGACGAAAATGACAGGTTCAAGAGGAAATATGTAATAGGCAGTTCATGAAGGCTGTACTTTCCTAGTACCTCAGCCAATGGGGAAAGGAAGAGGGCAACATGTGGCTGGGAGTTTGGGATAAAAGGAGGCTGAGTCCTCTAAAACATCAAGAGAGAAAACCCCACGGGCATGAGCACCAGTGGACTCTCTCCATTTATTCGAATAAAGTTGCAGGACTCCTCTGTCTCCTTTATGGACACTGCTTTTTCATAGTGTGATTTTCCGTACAAGATGGGAGCTTTTGTCCAGGATCCTTCCAACATCTGGGGCCGGCACATGGCAAGAAGAGCTGGAGGCGCACCTCACCCACTTTTTAGGTGACCAGTTCCCTTTGATGCTGGCCAGCACTGGGCAATTGATTGGATTCCTGAGGCTGTCCAGGAGACAGATGAGAGGCTGACCAGGGGGGTCCATGAAGAGCCCACAGGAAAGGACTGCTGGAAATCTCATGGGTGAGTACAATGGAAACTTTGAGGAGTAAAACATGGCAGGATGCCTAGAAGGGGCTGTAAAGGAAAGTTGAGAAAGGGTCTTGACTATAGGGATGACGATCCCAAAATACCTCCAAAGGGCCATTTGGGAGAATGTTGAGATGGTTTGCACATTCTCCCAGAGGTAGTTAAGGACATGGATGCCCAGAGGGGGCAATAAGGGGAGTCAAGAAGGGGTCTCAGAAACAGGGGATGGATGCCCAGAGGGGGCAGTAAGGGGAGTTGAGAAGAGGTCTCAGCAACAGGGTTGGTGTTGGTTTGGGAAAGGATTGGTTGAAGGGGAGTATGGAGGAATATGGTTAAGGCAAATGGCAGTGGGACACTACATGATAAAAAAAAGAATTGAGAAGCAGTGAGGATTGGGATGTTCTCTGCCTTATCTTCAAAATTTGCAATCTAGTACAGGGCCGGCTGCAGGTCTTTTGTAGTCTTGGCTTCCAAGATAGGGAAGGCAGGGAGGTATTGTTCCTACACCCCCCCACCTCTCCCCTGGTCATTATGGAGCCAGGGTGTAGGATTTGCGTTTGTCCGCTTACTACTTAGGGGGGTTTCTCTATGGTGAAGAATGCTGAGGCCAGGCACAGAAGTGTGGGATCAGGAGCATGGGCTGGGGGCCTGTGGGGAGGTGTGGGGCCGGGCCGAAGCTGTGGGGAAGCCGGGGCTCAGCACCAGGTGACACCTGATGCCACCAACCCTGCAGGCAGGGGTTGTAGTGGCCCTCTGGCCCCTATGAGGTTGCAGGACATCTTGTCTGCCTGCCTGTCCCTGCGGCACTGCCCACCCGCCAGGACCTGGTGCTTTACAGAGCTTCTGGTGCTGGGAGAGTGGACCAGGAACCTGGACGAGTGTGCTGAGGGGATGCATCTGGACACTGCAGCAGGACAGGGACTGTCTTTGGTGTACGGTGTAAGGTAGAGTGACTGTCTTTGGTGTACACCATGAGATACAATCCATCACCAAAGCCTGGCCTGATATAAGAACAGATTTTGTTTGGATCCCCAGGGAGGTGAGTGATTTTGCAGAGTTTGGCAGTTGTGGGAGGGTGAGAGCCCACAGGGAATGGGAGCATGGGTTGCAGAGGTGGCAGAGTGGGCCCTTGCAGGAGTTGGTTGGAAAGGCACATCAGGTATATGTAAGAAGGGATGAGGAAAAGGTAAAGGTACAGGCAAGGATAATGGCACAGTTTTTAATCAATGTGCCATTTGTAAAAAAAAAAAAAGAGAACATTAGAAATGGATTGTTAAGCGTGCCAGGATCTCCTATTGTACTGGGGGCTCACCACACTGGAGCCCTTGCTAACATGCAGGGTGGGTCTGAACCGAGAAATGTGTTTCCTAGTAGACACAGGAGCCTCTCTGTCTACTTTGAATTTTATGCCAAAGAGGGTTTTTTGATAATTCAGGGAGTAAGTGGGAAAGATGAGCCAGTGCTTTTTATTCAACCACTATTGGTCAATGTGTGAGATGGGTTTGAAAAGCATGAGTTTCTGTTTGTTCATAGTTGTGGTTGTGGTTTGCTAGGAGGGTATTTGATGACTGAGTTGTGTTATAGATGGGTGGTGTGGTAATTGGCTCTCACATATGAGGAATGGATATTATGTGTGTTAAAAGAAGCTTTGTTAAGGTTTAAAGTTCTTTTGATGTGTGACTGTTGTTGTAGGTTGTTTTTGGACCCCTTTTTGTCCTCCCTTTAATCCTCTCTTCCCCCCTCTGTATTGTTGCCACCAGACAACCCTAGTCATCAGGGTTGTCAGAGACATGTGGAGGGAGGGTGTGTGCACAGGCCCCTTGCATGAGGCATCTGGGAATGGGGGAAGCTTGTCGCTGGGGGGACTTGGCATGACACCACCTCACCTCCAATCAAGTTGCAAGAAGGTCTCCACCAATGGATGGCAAAGAAGAGTCAACTGGCAGACTTTGGGAGGGACCAGGGATATAGAAGGAAGATGTTTGAATATGTATGACTGCTTATGAATATGTATTTGGCTGATGCAACACCAGGGGTATAAAAGGTGGAGCCGCCATTCTGTGGATGAGCCTCTGCTGGCTGGCCACACTCCCAGTGCTGTCCCTTTCGCTTTGTGAATTATTTTTATTAGTTCTCAATAAAAGTTTTATAACTCATTCCCACTTGGGGTTTGAGTCATTTATAACAGTTGGGAATGTGGGTTAGTGTTGTGAAGGCTGATGGGGAGGCTAGGGCTGTTGTGACACTGTGTAAATTATCTGATAAAGCTTATGCTAAAATGAACCCAGAAGTGTTGTCAGTCCCAGGGAAATATGGAAAACTGGATATGGAGCCTCTCCAAATTACTCTGAGGCAACCAGGACAAGTGGTGTCTAAAAGGAAATACCCTATTTCAGGGGAAGGAAGGGGTTACAGCCTGTTATTGAGTTCCTGTTAAAGGTGGGTCTTTTGGAGCCATGTATGTTATGTTTCCTGATAACATTTCTATCCTGTCAGTTATGAAATCAGATGGAACTTATAGAATGGTGCAGGACGTGAGAATAATGAGACTACTAAAATAATGAGACTACTAAACTCAGGCACTCCATGGTCCCAGATCCTTATACCATCCTGAACCAGGTTTCCTCCTCACACTGCTACTATTCAGTACTTGATTGAAAAGATACTTTCTGGGGATGCCCACTTACAAAGCATAGTAAACAGTATTTTGCCTTTGAGTGGGAACAAAAGGGAGAAGGGAAAATAATAAAGACATGGATGATCCTTCCACAGGGATACATGGAAGCACTGGTCTTATTTGGGCAAGATATTAAAAGAATTTACTCCATCCTTGGGAATTAGGTTATTGTGGTATGTGAAGGACTTGCTCCTATGAGGAGAATGGGAGGAGGTGGTAGGGGAAGCCACGCTGAAATTACTTAATTTTGTGGCTGGAGGATGGGATCTTGGAGTGTCTGAAGGGAGGGCATAGGTGATGGAATGAAAGGTTGAATGTTTGAGGCCTCTTTTGACTGAAGGCTTGTGGTGTGTTGGCCCAGAAAGGGTTCAGGGAATCTTGGAGGTGCTATTGCCCAGGACTGAAGGGGAGCTGTGACAATTTTTAGGATTAATAGGGTATTGCAGGACCTGGATTAAGGACTTTTTATTTTGTGACTTTTTAAACCCAGATAGCCCCAGTGTTGTGGTATGGATGCCAGAAAGACAGCAAAACTTTAGCCAGACTCATAAAAGGAATTGGAACTGTGTGTGGATGTTAAACAAGGCCGTGCCAAAGGAATTCTAGTGCTAAAATGTTTGGCCCATCGGCGAGGGGATGGCCCCATTGTTTGCTCTAAGGGTAACTGTGGCTCTGTTGTCTGCAGAATTGTGCAGCCACGGCTTTGATGGTAACTGATGGCAAGATTGTTAAAGTCTGGCATCAAATTCTAAATGGATGACCAGCACTAGTCTGTTACAGTATGAAACCTGTTTAATGGAACAGGAGTATTTAGAATTTAGAAGCAGGGAAGGGTTTAACCCAGTCTCCTGTTTAACTGGTACAGAAGGAGACCTAAAGGAAACTCGTGACTGTATCCAGGTAACAGATCTCCAGACCCAAGCTAGGGAAGATTTACAGGATATCTCTTGGCCAAATGAGAGAAAGGAGTTTATTGATGGATCTTCAAGAGTAATAGGAGGAAAATAAATTACTGGATATGCTATAGTAAAAGGAGGGGAATAAGAAGGGAAGCTACCATGCACATGGTCAGCACAGACCACACAATTGTATGCCTTAATAAAAGCCTGAAAATTGTATCAAGGAAAGGTGGTGAATATATTTACAGATTCAAAATATGCATATGGGGTGGTACACGCGTTTGGAAAACTGTGAGGAAAGAGGTCTGTTAACTTGCAGGGGAAAAACATTCGCTCATGAGAGCTCAATTACTTGCCTGTTGGAGGTGGTGATTTTACCAAGAGGTAGAAATAATACATGTTAGGGGATATTAGGCAGGGTACTCAGAAGAGGCAATAGGTAATCAACTGGCCAATGGAGAGGTTCAGAAAGCAGCACTTCTGCCAGAGGTCTCTGGGATCCTCCCTTTGCTCCCGGTGGCTCAGCTGTTGCTGGGGGGAGGGGGGAGTTGGTGGTGGTGTCTTTTCCATCCGAGGAGTTGGAGATAATTAAAAGTGGTGGAGCAAAAGAAAAAGGGGAGCATTACAATGGACAGTAAACAGAGGATGCCAGGAGCTTTGACCCTTCACATATTAAAACAACTCCATGGGGGGAGTCATTGGGGCTCTCGAGGATTGGCAGAGACCTTCCTCAAGGTGTACTGCTTTGGGTCTTTTGGTTTTAGCAAAACGAGCTATTGAGGGGTACCTGGATACAGTTAATAGGAGATAATAACCTCCCATGGGAGGGTCTCCATGCTGGAACAGGGGAAGAGTGTGAGGAGTCCTCCTGAGGAATGGCAGAGAAAATGTGATGGACTGACCACAACCTCCATCCCCCTGTGCCACTGGGAGGCAGGGGGAAGAGAAAATAGGGAGTTGTTGTGGTTTCACCCCAGCCAGCAGCCAAGCCCCACACATCCTCGCTCACTGGCCCCACCAGTGGGATTGTGGAGAGAATCAGAAGGTTAAAAAGTTTGAAAACTTGTGAGTTGAAATAAAGACAGTTTAATAGGGAAAGCCAAAGCCATGCATACAAGCAAAGCAAAACAAGGAATTCATTCATCCCTTCCCATGGGCAGGCAGGTGCTCAGCCATCTCCAGAGAGCAGGGCTCCATCATGTGCAACGGTTACTTGGAAACACAAATGCCATCACTCCAAACATCCCCTCCCTTCTTCCTTCTTCCCTCAGCTTTATATACTGAGCATGATGTCATATGGTCTAAAATATCCCTTTGGTCAGTTTAGGTCACCTGTCCCAACTGTGTCTCCTCCCAACCTCCCATGCACCCCCAACTTCCTCACCAGTGTGGCAGTATGAAAAGCAGAAAAGGCCTTGGCTGTGTGTAAGCACTGCTCAGCAACAGCAAAAATATCTGTATTATCAACACTGTGTTCAATACAAATCCAAAACACAGCCCCATATCAGCCACTGGGAAGAAAACAAACTCTACCCCAGCCAAAACCAGCACAGGAGTGAAGTTGAGCCTGGGAAGAAGGAAGGGGTAGAGGGAAGGTGTTTTAAGATTTGCTTTTATTTCTCATTACCCTACTCTGATTTGATTTGTAATATATTAATTCAATTTCCCTAAGCTGAGTCTGTTTTGCCCATGACAGTAATTGCTGAATGATCTCCCTATCCTTGTCTCAACTCATCAGCCTTTAGTTATATTTTCTCTCCCCTGTCCAGCTTATAAGGGGGAGTGATAGAGAGGCTTTGGTGGGTGCCTGGCATCCAGCCAAGGTCTACCCACCACAAAGGAATACAGCAAAACTTAAAACATGGAATTCCATCAACACAGCCTTATGTCTGGTACAACAGTAACACACATACTAGCTGTTGCATCTCTAAGACCTCAACTACATCCATAAGTTAAAATGCTCAGAAACAATTCTAGGTACTTAAGCCAACTGCAGTGGAATAATCTATGCCCACACCATTCACAACAAAGCCCCATGCCAACTTTTAGATACAATCCCTGATGCATGTCAACATCCAAAGCACATCTAAGAACCGTTTAGGAGAATGCTATCTGTTATCAGCCAGAACTGTACTGCAGATCAGTACTGCAATTTTGCAATCCTGTTCTAGCAAACGGGAATAGTCCCGGTCACTGCTTTATCTACTGATAGAGATGCACTCTACAAAAGGAGCATCAAAACCCAGGATAATGCTTTTGTAATGGGCCTGGCTAAGACAGAGTTGATTTTCTTCAAGGGCAGCTCATATGGAGCAGTTTTAGATTTTTGACCAAAATAGTACTGATAGCAGACTAATATTATAGCTTTTGCCAAATGATGTTCATACAGCATCAAGGCTGCCTCTGTTTTTCACTCTGCCCCCCCGCAATGAATAGACTGAGGGTGAACAATAGGCTGGGATTAGACAGAACAGGGCAGATGACCCAAACTAACCAGAGAGATATTCCATAACATTTAAAGCCATGCTCAGCAATACAAGGGAAAAGAGGGAGGTTTTATGGGTGTCAGCCATCTTTTATTCAGGAATTGGCTGGGCATCAGTCTACACATGGGAGGTAGTATGATTGCCTTTGCATCACTTGTTTAGTTCTATTAAATTTATCCTTTACTTATTAAACATTTTTATATTTTTGTTTGTTTTAGCTTGACCCCCAAATTTTCTTTTTTTTATTCTTTCTTTCCTCTTCTCCCATCCTACTGAGGGTGAAGAGGAAAGTGAGCAAGTGACTGTGATGCTTTATCTGCCAAATAGGGTTAACCCAAAACAGTTTTCTTTATGAAACACTTTAACATTCACTTTCTCTTTGTTTTTATTGTTTTTTTGGGTTTTTTTTTTTTTTTTTTACTTTAAAACAAGACATTGGGAATAAACGTCTAATCTTTAAGCGAGAGAACTCTATGCTGGTTGCCTTAGGGAGTAAGTAAATTCATTGATATGATTAACATGATTTCGCAGTGTTCAAATTACTTAATATTTTGCTAAATTAGGCACTAAAGCAAGTTTATGCCTATTATTACATAAAGTATGAATTCAGTCTGAAGCATAGTCACCTGAGATGATATTAAACATCCTTGGGTTCAGGATAGCAGGACAAATCAGTCGAAGAAAAACAAAGCCACTGAAATGGGAAAAAAAGAGAATTTTTATTTTGTTCAATATTAAATCTATTATAAAATTAATGTAAAATTATGTAGTCTTTAGGCATTTAAGTCAGTGTGGAAATCTTTGTGAGATGACAACCAGCCTGTGCTCCAAGTTTATTAATTAAAAATGTCTTGTTATGATTTCAACTATGACAAAAAACAAAATAAAACCAGACATATTGATTTCTCAATAAAGGTGAACTTCCGAAACTACCTGGGAAAAGCTTAACTGTAAAGCCATACTGAAATCTGCAGTCTAAGACCACATTGCCTTTAAAAAGGAGGAGCACTTCATCTCCTGCCTCCTACAAGTGTTACACTGTCTACTACCACAAGTAATTCATCCTACAGCCACTCATTTCCCCAAGCAAACATAAGGAGAGCAAGAGTGCACAGTAACAATGGAACCTCTCTTTTGGCAGCAACGTGGCCTTAGTTCAGCTTGAACCAATCCATCTCCTAATAATAGTATGACAGTATCCTAGAAGAATAATACTGGATCAGCTACTTTCTTCACAGAAGTAACTGCTGCCACTCAGACAATCTAGAAAGCTAGGGAAAAATACTCAGTTTGACCACAGAACTAGGAACTTATTAAACAGAAACCTAAATTGTTGTGTTGGTTTTGCACAGTCTGGTTCTTGGTAGCAGGGGCACCACAGAGGTGGCTTCTGTGAGAAGCTGCTTGAAGCTTCTACCATGTCGGGCAGAGCCAGTCCCTGATAGCTCCAAAGACAGACATGCTGCTGGCCAAGGCTGGGCCAATCAGAGGTGGTGGTAATGCCACTGTGATGACATATTTAAGAAGAAATCTAAACAAACTTTGTGGTGCAGTTTTAATTCTAGCTGAGAAGAGGAGGAGGTGAAAACATGTGAGAAGAACAACTCTGCAGACACCAAGGTCATTGAAGAAGGAGGGGGAGGAGGTGCTCCAGGCACTGGAGCCAAAATTCCTCTGCAGGCTGTGGTGAGGACCACAGTGAAGCAGGCTGTCCCCCTGCAGCCCATGGGGATCCATGGGGGATGCAGAGATCCACCTGTAGCCCATGGGGGAGGAGCCCACACCGGAGCGGGTGGATGCCTCGAGGAGGCTGTGATCCAGTGGGAGATCCGTGGAGAGAGGGGCCCTACTCCCAGGCTGGAGCAGCCTGTCGTTGAAGGACTGCACCCTGTCAAAGAGTGACTCACACTGCAGCAGTTTGAGGCATACTGCTGTCCGTGGGATGTACTCATGTTGCAGTAGTTTTGGGAGGACTGTTACTATTGAGATGGAGCCACGTTGGAGAAGTTTGTGGAGAACTGTCTACTGTGGAAGGGACCCCACGGCGCAGCAGGGGAATGACTCCTCTCCCTGAGCAGTGAGAGAAAGCACAGGTGATAAACTGTCCAAAACCCCACTCCCTGCCTCCCTGTGCAGTCAGTGGGAAGGAGGGAGGGATTGGAGGGGAAGGAAAGATGTTTTGAAGGGCTTATTTTACTTCTCATTATCCTGCTCTGATTTTGTTAGTAATAAATTCACTTTATATTTCTAAGTTGAGCCTGTTTTGCCCTTGATGGTAATTGATGAGTGTTTTCTCATGGTCCTTATCTCAACTCATGAACCCCTCACAATATTTTCCCTCCTCTGTCCAGTTGCAGGGGAGGGTGAGTGAGCAGCTTTCATGGGTGCCTGGTGTCTGGCCAGTGCCAAACCACAACAATTGTCCTTCAGTTTAGCATGAGAAAAATCTAACTTTCTGTTGACAGTTTAAGCAAAATTAAAATAAAATAAAATAAAATAAAATAAAATAAAATAAAATAAAATATCCATTTCAGGTTAACCATAATTCTGGAAGAGTGCTATAAAATGAAGCAACATATGGACCAACTAAAGCAATCTAACTCACCTCTCATTTTGTTCAGAGTGCATGGACACTACCAGCCGCCTGCTTTTCACTACAGCAATACCAAAATTTGACCTCTTACAAAAGAGTGGAAGTTGACCTTGCATTACCTTGCTTATAAGTATACAGTGATGGCATTGTTCATTATTAATTGAAAGTGACACGTAGCAGTGAGGTTAACACACCTTTCACGTGTCCAACACACTTGAATTCCAATATATACTGTTATAGAAGTCTCCTGTTTGTCCAAGAACCATGTATTGTGGGTTGACAAAACACTCCTGGCCCAGTGTGAAACAAAAATATTTTCTATGAGATGAATTTAAAGCTATGAGGAAGTAAATAATTTTGAAGTCATGGCATGAACATCAATTTCTCCTATAGATGGTGTATTGGTTTTGCACAGCCTGGTTTTTGATAGTGAGGGGGCCACAGAGAGATGGGTCCTGTGAGAAGCTGCTGGAAGCTTCCACCATGTCCAGCAGAGCCAGTCCCTGATGGCTCTAAAGATGGACATGCTGCTGGACAAAACTGGGACAATTAGATAGGTTGGTAATGCCTCTGTGATGACATATTTAAGAAGAAAATCAAAACAGAGTACACACAGTTTTTCTTCAAGTCAGAGAAGAGGAGGAGGAGGTAAGAACAGGTGAAGGAAAACAACATGGCGACACCAAGGTCAGTGACGAAGGAGGGGTAGGAGGTGCTCCAGGTGCTAGAGCTGAGATTCCTCTGCAGGCCATGGTGAAGACCATGGTGAAGCAGGTTGTCCCCCTGCAGCCCATGGGGATCCACGGGGGATGCAGAGATCTACCCGCAGCCTGTGGGGGAGGTGCCCATGCCAGAGCAGGTGAATGCCTGGAGGAGGCTGTGCTCCAGTGGAAGACCCAGTGGAGAGAGGGGGACCCTTGCTTCCAGGCTGGAGCAGCCTGTCCTTGGAGGACTGCACCCTGTGCAAAGAGAGACCCATGTTGCAGCAGTTTTGGGAGGACTGTTTGCCCGTGGGGGGAATTCATATTGCAGCAGGTGCAGTAGGACTGCTGGTTGTGAGAGTGGACCCATGCCAGAGAAGTTCACAGAGAACTGTCTCCCATGGGAGGGACCCCATGGCCTCACAGGGGAAGGACTCCTCTCCCAGAGCAGCGGAAGAAAATCTCGGTGGTGAACTGACCAAAACCCGCATGCCCTGTCTCCCTGTGCTGTTGGTGGGAAGGAGGGAGGGTCTGGGGGAAAACGTGTTTTAAGGGCTTATTTTACTTCTCATTATCCTCCTCTGATTCTGTTAGTAATAAATTCACTTTGCAACCTTAAGTTGAGCCTGTTCTGCCCTTGCAATGTTTTCTCCCAGTCCTTATCTCACTCATGAACCCTTTTGCATTTTTTTTTCTCTCCTCTGCCCAGCTGTGGAAGGGGAGGGTGAACGAGTGACTCTTGTGGGTACCTGGCATTGGGCCAGCTTCAAACAATGACAGATGGCCTGAGGACAATTGGGGTATGAACCCAAGATGGACCTTGCAGACAGAAAATTTGCTGCTTCGTACACTAGTCAAGCTGACTAAATTAGGAATAAGTCAATACCTATATTAGGAATAAGTCAATACCTATGTATGGTCTTTTACAAAAAAACAGAAATGGCAGCACTTTCTGAGTTTTACAGAAGACAAGCTACTCAAGCACTTAAAAACTATCCACCTGTCTTTGAATATGTAATTATTCCTGGACCAAAACCAGTGCAGTAAAAGATAATATTCTTCACTGGAGGCTGCAAAAACCCCCACAAAAATCTACTCTAGAGACAAGTCACAAGTATCCATTTATGAAGAGAGAAAGGGACCCAATATTTATAGTATCCAGCAGAGATCCCAGAAAAATTCTCAGTGTAAGCTGTATCACTTAAGGAAAGCCACATGGTGCTCTCTGGAGATGGGAAGAAACAGGAAGAGACATGGTATTTGCTTCTAAGTTCTATACGCTTGCAATAGACTAGCCCAAACACTTTTGATGAGAGCAGCCTCAATTTGAAGGCAAAACTCCTGCAGAACACTGTTGGCAGGCATTTTACTGAAGATTTTTCTTCATTAAAATCTTGAGTCACTATTGTTATGAACACTAAATGACAGGAAAACAAGCATGGAAGGTACTGTACTAAGTACACTAACATTAACTGAAACTCTGGGGAAGGAAGGGTTCCCATATCTTCATTTCTGTCTCCAGCCACAGTGATAAACAAGAGCCAATGACAAATCATCTGGAAGACACTGTTCAATGGGAGATTAACCTCAGTAAACCAGATCAGTGCCAGATATTGGGTCTATTAGAAAGCTAGGCTTGCAAAAAAAAAAAAAAAAGGTAATGCAAATGTAGAAAAGATGAAAAGATGTGGCTTTGAAATCTTTAAATCTCCAGTAAGGTTTAGAACAAGTGTCAAGACCTCATTTTTGTCAAAAGGTTTTTTTTTTTTACCTGCACTAGCAACTGGTAGTGTGAAAGAAAGAACAATTTATTCAATTGATTTATGAATGCAGACTGGAGTTTTTGTACTCGGTACCAGTTCAAAGGAGTCAGGTTCAGTAGCTTGCAACATTTTTAAAGAGACTCTGGAATGTTTTAACATGATTGGGCTGGAGCAGTGAAATAAAACTGGGACAGCATAAAAGTATGTATTTTCCAAAATGAATGCTGATTCCAAGTGATCAGCACAGGAAGCCTTCATTGATGCAGAAAACTATATATTCCAGTGCAGAAAGTACCTCAGTGAAATCTAATGACAGTCCAATCACCTTACTGAGAAGGTATTAGTTTCCTTAACATGTTATGTCTGCACTTTAAAGGACATTTAGCATGTGTAAGATTTTTCCAGTAATTAACACACACTACATAAGAGTCCCTGGATAAGGTACAGTCTTCCCAGATAGCGTGACAGGAACATAATCATTAGAGGATATAAAAGGTTAACTATCACTTTGAGACAACTTCTCTTTCCCAAGATCTTAGATTAAATAAATTAACAAAATACAAGTAAATTAAAAGTCAAATCTATTAAGTATAGCTACACTGACCTCTATACTAGACTGTTAGAAATTCTCCAACAACATGACTAAGAATCTAGCAGATCCTTGAGATATCATGCCCCAGTGTAGTAAACCCCATGGACCTAGGTAAGGCCCCATGGAGAATTGAATAGTAGGAACTGCTGAGACAGCAACACAAGTTCCTGTCTCTCTGACCCCCTCCCCAAAGCTTATCTCTGTAACCCTATAGGCCACTATACCTAAACCTTACTATTGGTCAAGTTTGGATTCCCCTTAACCCTATAAAAGGGGCATACTTTAGCCCATTCGACAGAAGAAGAGCTGTTGCTGGGACCCTTCACAGACTCCCCCAATAAACATCGCTGTGGAACCGCCAGGACCTCCTTCTCCTCTCTTGCTGTCTGCTGCAGCCTCAGCCAAGGGCAACCTACCTAGCAAGCTAAGAGCTGATATCTTAAGAGAGCTTGCAAACACTGAGAGCTGATAATCACCAAGCTTGCTAAGGGGGTTAGCCCATGGCATCGGCCCGGAGCTAGCCTAGCTTTCGGGCACCCTGTCTCCCTGAGGACTGGGCTCCCAGGCTATCTTGCACTGCTTGATAATAAGGCCAGAATAGAGGCTTTATTATACCCCAGTACCACAATAATTTTAAATATTCTTGTAATCTATATAAATACTAAAAACTTTTATCGCTAAAAGAAAAAATTGATAAGCACACTGAAGCATGACAGTAATAAGACAAAAAAATATTATTTTCAGCATAAAATGACAAGTAACTTACCTAACAACTCTTGTTCTCATTGTCGTATTAGCTGGCCACTTGTTTTGAACAGACTTCTGCAAGCATCCATAAATATATCTCAATGTCCTGTAAAAATAATAACTGATGAATAATTTAATTTAAAAATTTTAATGAGTAAAAATAGCTGGTCAGAAAGCATCTAGTCCAATCTCCTCCAATTCAGACATAAGCTGTAAATTAATTAAAAATCTGCTATAACAGTCCATTTACAAATGGCAAAGAAAGTCCTTGACTAATGCACTACTCTATTTGTGAAGGTAAAATTCTGATAAATCATGTATGCATTATATGTTTTATAATACTTTTTTCCTATTTCCCTAGTGTGAAAAATGCATGTATTTTGTGATTGGCTTTTCACAAATATTAAAATGAATATTATATGTGTTGTGTTAGAAAGTAATGCTGTATTAATTCTCTTAAGTACTGTGTTAAATATAGTTTTAGGTTACAAAAATTGTTAAAATAGAAACGATGCTATGTAGGATACTTTTTTTAAAAGAAAGGACTCACAGCGAGATAGCAGCCACAGGACACCTAAATCTTTCAGAGAAAAATAATTTATTGCCCTCTTATCAGAAGAAACGAACTTCTTCCCGCCTCAAAGGCACTGTTAGGATTAGAAGGAAGAAGTTGATGATGACCAGACAGAATCCTGTATTTGAATGGAATTTATGCATCATGTATGAAGTGTATGAATATGCAACAGGCTATTGCTTTTAAGGGTTAATCCTTTGTTAACAGGGGTCCTTTTTCGGGCTCGTGCTGCCCTGAAAAAGGTACCCGGGACATCTGTAACTCTTTGTATTTGTTGTCTCATATTGTCCTAATTCAAATTGTCCAAATTATTATTGCTCCAATTGTATTACTATTTTTATAACCATTTTATTACTATTAAACTTTTAAAATTTTAAAAACAAGTGATTGGCGTTTTTCACACCTAGGTAGCATTTCAATTTTTTTTTTTGAAGTTTGGTTTGCTGGCTTTTTTCCTTGATTTTTTTCCACTTTTAAACTGAATGAATAATAATTTGTGCATCTATAACTAGAGGTCAGGTGTTTAAAAATAGTTATGTAATAGTCTTCTCCTATTAAAAAAATAGGAGCCCTCTGTTGTATTTCAGAAAATGTTGAGATGCACCATATACTTAACAGGATGAAGCTTTTAATACTAAGTGTGCTGGTTTTATATTAATTGATTATTGATGAAGAGGGAAAAAGTCAGCCACGGAAGTGATTCTCTGTGAGGAGCTGCTAGCAGCTTCCTCCGTGCCTGGCAAAACCAATTGCTGGCTAGCTCTGAGAATTGGCACACTACTAAGCCAATTAGAAAAGCTGGAAACGCCTCTCTGATGACATATTTAAGTACGAAAAAAAAACGCGGAAGTGCTCTAGCTCTCTGCAGAGAGGTGGGGGGGGGGTAGGCCGGGCCCCCTTCCTGGTGGGGCCAGCTAGGGTTCCCTTTCCAGCGGGGGCCACCGGGCCATGCTGCTAGGGGCCATCCCAGCGCCGCGAGCAACCATGGGGCCGGGGCAGCGCCGTGCGGCTGCGGCTTTCTCGGAATGGCTCACAATGGACTTTATTTACTTAGCCGCTTTTAACCAGCCATGCTGCGGACAGAAAGACAAAAGCGGCGGCAGCAGCTTTTCTTTTTTCGGTGTCCCGCATGAAGAAAAGGCGTGGAGTGGAGCTGGCAGCCAGCGAGGCTTGCCCAGTGCCGGCGAAGACCATGTGACCAATAGAGAGAGAAGCACGGCGAGCAATTCCCCGATTGTGGAGCTTAGACAAGATCAACTTTTCAGCGCTGCAGAGCTCGATAAAAACTGTTTCAATTGATAGAACTTGAGAACAAACGAACCTACAGATACCAATTCTCTCCCGAGTCAGAGAAAAGGAAAAAGTGAGGACATGTGAGGAGAAAAATATGGGGACACTAAGATCGGTGCAAAAGAAGGAGGGGGAGGAGGACGTGCTCCGAGCATCGGAGCTGAGATTCTTCTGCAAGCCATGATGAGGACTATAATAGAACAAACTGTTTCCTTGTAATTCATTAAGTGCATGGGGGGGGATGCAGCATTCACCTGCGGCCCATGAGTAAAAAGCACTCGTGCTGGAGTGTGTGGATGCTGAAAAGCTGTGATCTGGTGAGAGGCTTAAACAGAGAGAAAGAGAACCCTTGCTTTCAGAGATTAAGAAAGAGGACCCTTGTTTTTATGGTCTAGAACAGCTTGGCCTTAAAAACTGCACCCCATAGCTAAATGGCCTATGAAAATCAGTTGTGGGAAGACTGCAAGCCATGGGAGAGACTTCATGTTGCAAGCAGGTTCCAGGCGGACTGTTAGCTGTGAAAATTAAAACCACCTCTAAAAAGTTCACAGAAAACTGTTTCCCATAGGAAAGACCCCATGGCATAGCAAAAGAGACTCCTCTCCTTAGCAAAGTGAAAAAAGATCTTAAGAAGTTGCAAACTAACTTAAATTCCCATATTTTGTCTCCCTGTGCTGTCGGTGGGAAAGAAAGAAGGGCTGGGGTGGGTGGGGGGTAAGGTATTCTAAAGGTTTATTTTTGGTTCTCATTACCCTCTTCTAATTCTGTTAATAATTTTTTCTTTATATGTTTTAAAATGTTGAGCCTGTTTTGTCCTTAAAGTGTTTTCTCCTAATCCTTATCTCACACCATGAGTTTTCTTTCCCCCTCCTCTGCTTAACTACAGCAGAGGAAAATTAGTGAATGATTTTCATGGGTGCGCTGACATTTGGCCAGCATCAACCCATAACACTAACCTTGCTATCACTGACACAAAACTTTCTGTGCTGTTCTGTGATGGGTTGACCATGACCAGCAGCTAAGCCCCCACCCAGTCACATGCTCACTTCCCATCAGCAGTGTGAGAAACAACTGCTCACTTTGAAAATTTAAGAAGGTTTATTAAACCTTGACAAAAACACAAAAAAAAGGACTATATAAGCAAAAATTCGCAGCGCTGGGAACTGCCCTTGTGGATACCACGTGGCTGATTTGTCTTCAAGATGGATGCTCAGTCTTTTATACCCCCGGGGGTTGCATCAGCCAGCCCTGGCCCCTCCCAAAGTCTGTCAGTCAGCTCTTTGCCATTTATTGGTGGAAACTGCTTTCTTGTAACTTGATTGGAGGTCAGGTGTTGCCATGCTGTACCTCCTTAGCAACAAGCTTTTCCATTCCCAACTGCCCCAGGTAAGGGACATGTCCATGCCTTCTTTTTACCTGTTCTAGACAACCCTGGCTGTCTGATGGCAACAATACAGTGGGGGGGAAAAGGGAACTGTGGGGAGAACAGAGGACATTTAAACTCCAATAACAACTATACATCACTAAAGCTTTTCTTAATATTCACACAATAGTTATCCCTTAATTGCGAGATCAAATCATCTCATTATCCATCTATAACAGCAGGATAGGGGAGAAAAAAACAAAATCACATGTTATAGATGAGTAATGAGATGATTGGCTCTCACAATTAAGGGGTGAACATTATATATATGTCAAGAGAAATTTTATAGATGTATAGTTACGTTACTGCAAAGTGTTCCCCCCCAGCATTGTTATCCCGGGATGGTCTTGGTAGTCAGGGCATTTGGGGGAAGGGGCAGGCTGGTTACTAAAAGGCATGGCATGGCAACACTTGACCTCCAATCAAGTTACAAGAAAGCAGTCTACACCAATGGACAGTGACGAAGAGTTAACAGACAGACTTTGGGAGGGGCTAGGGTTACCTGTTGCAACACCAAGGGTATAAAAGGTGGAGCAACCATTTTGTGGATGAATCAGCCACGTGGTTACCAACCATATGGGGGGGGGATTGTTGCATTGTGATTTCAGGGTTTACCTCAGAAACCCGGGTCCCTCCCGGGAAAATTCCCCCCCAGGTGTGTCAATCACCTCTCCTTTCCCCTCCCTGACCCCTGCCGAGCACTGTCTGTCAATCCTGGAATTCCAGAAGGGCATCAAGTGATTGGCAGATTCAAAGGATGCCCTCTACCCCTGGGGGGGCATTGGGCCATGCAGGTGTCCTTTGTCCCTTAAGACCTCCTCCTATGTACCTGGTTAGTGGGCTTCCTACCCCTTCCCTGCCCCTCTCCCTGGGGTTAAAAGGAACAGCAACTACGTGGTTCGGGGAGTTCTGTTGGAGCTGTTGCTGGATTCAGAGGCCTGTGGGCCAGAATAAAGCTCTGGATTGAAACCCTCCATCAGAACCGACTCCTTTCCTTCACCATCACCTTAAAGCTTCTCTGCCAGAGGTAAACCTGAGGAGCGGGCCCTCTCTCTCAAGGAGGCTCCATCCCACCATCACCAGAGCTCCTGCATGCCTGGACTTGTCTCCAAGCGCCCAGCTGCAACATCCAGCTAGCCAAAAGTGTCTCTGGGGTGAAACACCACAGCTGCCACTATTTGGTTTCACAGCAAGGGCCAGACAAGCTTAGGCACGTCCCGTCCGGCTATATTGGTAAATATTCAATAGGGGATGCTCCCAGCACTGAAATTTTTCCTTGTTTAGTCCTTTTGTTGTAATTTTTGTTAAGGTTTAGCAAACCTTTTAAAATTTTAAAAAGTGAGCAGTCGTTTCTCTCACACAGAATCATTTAGGTTTGAAAAGAGCTCTAAGATCAAGTCCACCATTAAACCACATCCTTAAGTGACACATCTATATGCCTTTAAATACCTCTAGTGATGGTGACTCCACCACTTCCCTGGGCAGCCTGTTCCAATGCTTTACGACCCATTTGGGGAAGAAATTTTTCCTAATATCCAATCTAAACCTCCACTACCACAACTTGAGGTCATTTCCTCTCATCACTTGCTTTTTGAGAAGAGACCAATGCCCACCTTGCCACAACCTCCTTTCAGGTAGTTACAGAGAATTATAAGGTCTACGGAGCCTCCTTTTCTCCAGGCTAAACAGCCTGAGCTCCCTCAGCCACTCCTCATAGGACTTATTCTCCAGCATCTTCCTCAGCTCTGTTACCTTTCTCTGGACATGCTCCTGCACCTCAATGTCTTTTTTGTAGTGAGGGACCAAAAACTGACCCCAGGATTCAAGGTATGGCCTCACCAGTATCAAGTACAGAGGAACAATCACTTCCCTGGTCCTGTGTCGGGTCCGGCTGTCTGTCTCTGCCCCGACACGGGTAGAGTGGTTCTTGGGTGGCACGCGATGCAAAGGACGAGTCTGGACTCTTCGGTTTTTCGGTCTTCAGGTTGTTTATTATTTCTTATCTACAAAATTTTCTGTCTGCCCAACAGAGGTCTGATCTGCAAGCAGTCACAGGCACTCTCTGACCACCCACAGGGCGGTCATGTCTTTTTATACTAAAACCTACGTATACAATATTTACCTTTATTTCCCAATGCTTTTCGCCCATGTTAGCAAGTGCACCTTCACCATAAACCAATCTCTAAGCGCCAACATCATCACAGGAGATGGAGGACAAGAAGAAGAAAGAAGAAGGACAAGACACGCCCTGATCCCTCCATCTTGTCTCCATAACCCCCCTGTACCAAAAACCTTAAAGTCTATATCTCACCCTCTAAATGTGTCTCTTTTACACCTTTTACTCTAAAGTGATTCTCTTGTCCTCAGACTCTTGTTACTTCTGTGGATGGATCAAAATCAAGCCACCAAACACTCTTGGCAACATTCCAGGGTTTTCGAGACCCCCAAGGGTTCTCCTGGCATCTCTGGACATCGGGAACGATGTGCTGAGATCCCACAGTCCTGCTGGCCACACTATTTCTGCTACAAGCCAGGCTGCCATTGGCATTCTTGGCCACCTGGGCACACGCTGGCTCATTTTAAGCTGGCTGTAAACAAGCACTCCCAAGTCCTTTTCCACTGGGCAGCTTTCCAGCTACTCCAAGCCTGTTGCACTGCCTGGGGTTGTTGCGACCCAAGTGCAGGACCTGGCACTTTGCCTTATTGAACTTCATACAATTTGCCTCAGCCCATCTATCCAGCCTGTCCAGATCCCTCTGCATAGCCTTCCTATCCTCAAGCAGATTAACAGTTCCACCCAACTCTGTTCCATTTTCAAATGTACAGAAGGGCAAAAGCGAGAAAAACTCATGAGCTGACATAAAGACAGTTTAATAGGTAAAGTAAAAGCTGTGCATGCAAGGAAAGCAAAATAAATTCATTCACTACTTCCCATTGGCAGTCAGGTGTTCAGCCATCTGCAGTAAAGCAGGGCTCCATCATACATAATGGTTACTTGGGAAGACAAATGCAGTAATTCCAAAATGTGTCTCCTTCATCCTTCTTTCTCTGCAGTTTTATTGCAAAGCAGAACGTCATATCATATGGAATATCCATTTAGTCAGTTGGGGTCAGCCATCCCAGCTGTTTTTCCTCCCAACTTCTTACCCATGTCCAGCCTACTTACTGGGGGATAGGGCAGAATGGGGAGAGAAAATACAACCCTCAACACTGTGCGAGCACTGTTCAGCCAAAACATGAGTTTGTTATCAACACTGTTTTAGTCACAAATCAAAAAGAGAACACCATTCAGGCTGCTATGAAGAAAATAATCTCCATCATATATAATGTAAAGTAATTCATGCTTAAGGGGAAAATGTATAAAATAAAAATGATAAAAAGAATTTAACATCCAATGAGCCTCTGACCATGAGCAACCTGGAGACAGATTACTACATTGGAATTACGAAACTCCTGGTGGCAGCAGGAGAACAATGCCTCGTTTACTAATAAAAGAACGTGGCCGGCGTGGAGATGGGCTTCCTCTGGAACCATCAGGAAACACCCAAGGACGATCATCACTTGATAGATATCATCAATCAAGATAACCAAAGTCGCCAAGAAACATGCATCTGAATACAGGACTTCCCCTGATCAGCCTGCCACTACTCAGGAAACAGCAATTGTCCAGCCCTGCACAGTGAAAGAAACCTTCATCCATATGCGGGGTTACAAAAGAAATCGGGGCACCTCTGCCTCAGGCATAAAAAACTGTATAAAACAGCCCCACTGGAGACGGCATTCATGAACAGAGGGGGATCCGATTCGATAGAGGTTGGATATAGGTTCACTCAGCGCCAATCCCAGGCTCGATGCTGTCTCTTTGACTGTGGTTTTTGAGGACCATATTTTGGTCACGAGAATAAAATCTTTTACATTTATTAATTTGGCTTTCTGGTTGATCATTTATAACAATCTCTTTTTCCATACCATTTGCACAATATGCTTGGGTTGTACACTATCCAGTACATCCTCATTAACCACCATCCCTCCTTCCCATCCTTTAGTATGCATACAGATATCATTCCCTTAGTCTATAGCCCCCCCTCCCCCCAAAGTGTCCATAAAATGTCTATTCAGTTCACTTAGTCTGTAACTTGGGCTCTGTTAAGGTGGTCACTTGGAACAGGAGAAGTAGTGCATTGTGTGGAGTCATTTGGCACCAAAAGCAGCTCAGATTGTGTCACTGCTGCACTTGCACTGCTTTTTGCAAAGCTCATCCACCACTAGTTCAGGTGGTCCCTTTTATAGTACTACTTCTAGCATGCAAATCATATCACAAGTTACAACAGTTTAATCACATATCCATTACAATCTCCACCCCTGGTCCTTTTGGACCAGGCTATAGAGTTTTACATCACAATGAACTCCATGCCTTGCCCCTGCTCCAGCACGGATTCTCCATGGGCTGCAGTCCCTTTGGACGCATACCTGTTCTAGCATACACTTATTCACAGACCAGCCACTTCAACTCCAGCTCATACTGGAGTTCCTTCATGTCCAGTATGGCAGCACTAAACCATGGCATGATTTCATTCAGGCCATGATAGTCCACTGTTAGTCTCCACTCTCCGCCAGACCTTTGCAGGCCATATGGAACTATTCAAGAGTGATTGAGTATTACTGCTTACTCCTTGGCTCTTCAATTGATGAATCAGCTTCAGCCAGGGTCATCATCCACTCTTTTGTTAACTCAATCACCTTCTATTCATCGTCTAGGTGCCACCCCCTTCTTCTCCCAGGGTCTTTTTCAGATGACAGATGGGAAGAAATTCCCTGAAAAACCTAACCCACAACACAGCCCTAAAGAATTTAGTCTTAGTACTAATTAGTATAAGATAAACCAATAAACCACCATTTTTATGGTGCAATGTAAACAACGGACAGGAATTTGCAAGTACAAATTTGAACAGAAGAGTGCAAACTTACGGAGGCAGTATCTCTGCAGCCATGAATATTTTCTCCACCAATTCCGAAAGTATACTGAGTAGATGTGCCAAATTAGTGTTTACATCTTCATTTTTTTCTAACTTCGAAGGATTTAACTAAAACCAAAAGGGAAAAAAGGCATAAGTTTTGTCTCTTGAATAGAACTACATATATAATTTGATAATATTACACACTGAATACTATTTCAAAATAAATTAAATATTCTATTCCTGTACAAATCTTATACAGAACTTACAAATCTGTTTCAAGAGCTAGCTAGAAAACTAACGTGAAAAAGCAAAGTTTTTAAGTTCAAGTGCACTATGCTTTAAACAGCACATTTAACACTATCCACAAGTACCCACCTTTTTCTAACTATGTATATTTTCATCTTTTAATCCAGTATTCTGAGGACACAGCCCTCCCCTTTCCATAATAAAGTTCAAGTGAAACAGAAGTTAGGAGAGTTGTTTTAGAAATAAAGGTAGGGTCTAACACAAGCAGTTAATGTAAGGGGAGTTTAAAAATTAAACTTAGTTCAGGCATTGACTTCTAGCATATCTGGAGCTTAAAACAAGTTATTTAAGGTAGGCCATTCAGTAACTGCTACAACAGAACATACAAATGCTAAAGAATAAATACATAATTTAAAGAAACTTGAGTTTAAAAGTTTATTTAAAAGTGATGCTATGAACATTGTCCAAGCTCACATTTAGAAAAAAAAAATCATAATCAATTCAGTTCCAGTACTGAAATTATTTCTGAAGAATTAATAAATGCTTCTGAAGCAAATAACCAGTAGATCATCATTTCAACAAATCAAAATTTAAAAAACATAGTTCAAGTTATCACCTCACAGGACTGCTTGCTCTCCATTATCTTTAATATACTGTCTTTCAGTGCATGATGAACAAAACGTGTTGCTGTGGCTTTCATATATTGCTCCATAAGTGTACTTGCTAAAGTGGTGGCACGAAACAAAGTAGTAGCTTCATCTGAAAAAAATAAAGTGTAAAGTTGGGAAAATGAGGCAACAAAAAGCAGAGGGGAAAAATAAGCTGTGTTCACAGTTTGATATGTGATGCAATAAAGAGAGGAGACAGAAATGAAGACATGGGAGTCATTCCCTCCCCAGAGTTTCAGCTAATGTTAGTGTAATTAGTACAGTACCTTCCATGCTTATTTCCCTGTCATTTAGTGTTCGTAACAATAGTGACTCAAGCTTTTCATGAAGAAATATCTTCAATAAAATGCCAGCCAACAGTGTTCTATCCTGGCCACAAACATGTGATAAGGCATAGACTACATGCATCTCCTTCTGGAGTATGAGCTGAAAGAAAACCAAAACAATGTTGAGAAATTTGTGCTAAAATAACAGTTGCCACAAATACAACTTAGCAACATCTGTAAGTGTTACTGAAATTTCTCTCAAACAACAGAGAAACTGATTTTGACAGAAAAAATGAGGAAAAAAAACTTAATACCTCTTTAAACTCACTGTACTCCTCTTCTGGCATGATCTTCTCCATAGAATATCGTGCTCGAACACGCAAAGATCCTGGCTCAATACCTTTCAGTGGTATATGGGAACTGAGTTGAAACCACTCATCTGTTGCATGTCCTTTCTGTAATCGGCTTAATTGGCAACGCATAAACACTTTAAGAAAAAAGCATTGTTAAATAGGTTATCTCCAGCAAAACAGTGCTAGCACTGAATAATTTTTTTTTTTTTTCAGCACATAACCTTGCTTCAGCAAAAGAGTATTAATAAAAATGATCAAAATTTGTGTCATCAAATATATGGACAGATTATCTCTTAGATGGTTTAAGGGACTCCTGAAAACTGAAGTTGAAATATAAAGCATGCTGTAAATAATGTATTCCCAGAGATTTGAAAAAAGTTTTCTTTTTAATGCCCAAACAGGGGAAAAAGCCCCTCTGCTCCCTCAGCCACCTATCAAACCTTGGCAGCAATAAGAAAATTAAAACAGGTAAAATGATTAGAATTCACTGTCCTCTTTTGAAGCCCTGGGCTCATACCTCTATCAGGTCTGCTCTTGAACCTCTTTGTTACCATTTTTAGTCTTTACTTTTAGCTTTAGTACATATTTCCCAAATGTTGTCAGATTTATTTCTTCAATACTTTGAAACCCCCAAGTTTAAGGCTGTAACATTTTATGCAAAACATATAAGAAGTCCTTCCCAGACAGGTTACTGCCCAAATAATGACAAGTCAACTACATATGACAAAAACATTAATTCACTTTTTTTGGTGGTGTTGGTACCTTAAAATTACTAAGTAATGACCTGCACCAGCCTAATCAACCATAACTGAAAGTCTGATCTGACAGCTGACTAGTAAGCTGCAGTAGTCAGACCACGGACCATTCCAAATTAAGTACATGCACTCCTGAACAGACTGTCTGGAACTTCTAAGCAAACACTCTTTTTCTGCATCTCTTGATGAAATCTACTTTTAATCAAGTCCCTCACATTTAAACAAAACAACTCTCCAAACAAAAAACACCCAATCATCCCCCCAAAAATCAAAACAATCAAAAACACTATCACACACTTCTTTTTCACTTTTCTGCAAAACATTTGAACAGTTCTAGCAGACTTTCCACTGCCCCAATTCTGCAGTATGTTGGGTCATCATTTGCATAATCAGATAATGGAACAGAATGACATAATATTTCTAATATAGATTTAATATCTCATATTCTTTGGAGTTGATGAATTGATAAGGTAACACAAGTCAGTCAGGTAGCGGATATACAAATTCATCATCATCTAGTATTTATCACAAGTGCGGACTGGACTGTCTTTACACCAGATAATCAATTGACTTTCCCAAAATATTTCTTCTGAGCAAAGCTCTTACACCCTCAACCGAGCAAGGTGTTTTCTTCTTGTTTTGCTTGTGCATATAAGGCATGTATCTCATTGACAGGAACAGTGAGATACAGGATTCAGAATAACCTGATTGAAAGGAATGAGGGATTTGTCTTTACAAACAAACTGTGGGTCTGCTAGTAGATAAAACTAGATACTGAGAGAAAAGAAACAATGGGAAGGATTCCACTGATTGATAAATGGAATGAAAGAGATTTGTCTTTACAAAATGTCAGGGTTTGACGCGGGTGCAATGCTAGTGCCCCCGTGAAAATATACTCTCCCTGGTGTCTGCTGTGAGATGTGACCAGGAATAGAGCAAAGCAGGCTCCAGCTTAGGAATAAAGAGAAAAAATTATTAACCTACAACTATATGTAAAAAGAAACACACAGAAAGAATGAGAACCTTCCAAAAACATTCCTCCTCCCCCTCACCAAATTTCCAATACATCTATCCCTCAGATCACCAACTCTCAGTCCATCACCACCCTTTAGATAATCAATTCTCAGTTCATCAAGGAGTGAGGAGTCCCTCTTGTGCCATAGGCTTCCCCTGGAAACACAGTTGAGACCTCATGTGTTTCCATGTCGCACGTGGCACCGCCGAGAGATCATTTGCCATCGTGACATCTTCCTTCCATGTCCAGTGCTCTCACCACTGCACATGGACCAGAGTTGCTTCTAGGGTTTTCCTTTTAAGGCTGCTTTGCCCAGTTCCAAAAAAAGCAGAGTCTTTCACCTTTGGGACACCTGTCCCCCCCAAATTTCACCCCCTTGGGCTGAGGGGTCTCAAGAACAGAGATATTCTTCCCTGAAGACAGAGGGCACCACCACCACCCTCCTCACCCGTCGTCTCTGTTCATGCACTCCTTCACATAACAACACTGAACTCTCTTGGCTCCGAGCCATTGCCTCCCCCCCTAAATGCAGTCTCTGTGACACAGGAAAAAAATGTTTCTGTCCATGGCTATACAAGAAAAGTCCAGCCAAAGGCCACTCCATCACCTCTGCCCACCCAAGATTCTTCTCAACTTCTCTTGTGGCCCATTTCCTCTCATCTCATCTCATCTCATCTCATCTCATCTCATCTTATCTCTGTCTCTCTCTTCTCATTCAATTCCAGGAGGATCAGCATTTGTAAGGCTTCCATCATCCAAGGAAAGGGTTAAAAATCTCAGGCTCTGCCCGTCCAGAACTCCCACAGCTGCCCTGCTGGGCACCTTCTCGCCGCGCACCCCCCCCCCCCCCCCCCCCCCCAGCTTCTCCTTCTCAGCCGGCCAAGCTATCAAATTTCAAGGTGTGTCAGGCACAGACACCGGCTCTCCCTCTCTCTCTCCTGGGGGGGGGGGGAGGGGGCAGGGGAGGTCTGAACCTTTCACTGACCGGAACCAAGAGAAAGTTTTCCTGGGAGTTCTCTGCTTTTAACCCCCTGTGTTCTCAGAGGCATATCCATGTCCTCAGTGGCCACACCAGGTGCCAATATTCAAATCTGAGCACCTATTGGTTTCACCACAGCATCCCAAAAAACTCACTTCCTCTCAAATCAGGACACAAACAAATTGTAGGTCTGCTGATAAATAAAATTGGATACTGAGAGATGAAAGAAACAATGGGAAGAACCATAAATTCTGTAGGAATTCCACTGAGTGACACAAGGAAAAGAAAAAAAGGGGATAAATTAGAAGGGGGTCTTAGGTGTTTTGGGAAGTCTGTACCTCTCAAGTACCTCAGCCAATGGGGAAAGAGAGAGGGAAATGTGGCCGGGAAATTAGGATGAAAAGGAGGCTGGGTCTTCCAAAAATTTGAGAGACCCCATGGGAAATACCCATGACCTCTCCCTTTATTCAAATAAAGTTACAGGACTCCTCTGTCTCCTTTTTGGACATAAACCTCTGGTGTTTGTGGATTAATTTTCCTGACACTGATGATTTAATTTTTCCCATGGTTATACAGTAGCACTTTCTAGCAATAATATAAATTTTATAATCTTATTTTGATCTTAAAAGATTGAAACAGAAACATCAACATATGGACTGTAGAATAGTTCTTATAATTCATATTCAAAAACTTTAGGAAACACTTTCTGCTACTTAGAAAAGTATATTGAACTATTAGGCTATGTTCAATAAGAGATTGCCATTAGTTGATGATTTAAGGATGTTTAAACTTTGCAGTCTAGCACAGTATGACAGAATAACAAATATACAGAAAAACCCCCAAAAGTTGATCTATTCTTTGCAAGCACAGTCAAAAACTGTATACAACAACCTTGAACCAAGAACGTTTTATGTGATGAACATTAGCAAAAATTAAAGGTAAAACTGAGCTTTCTTAATAGTTTGTTTGCAAATTAAGCTTAGGGATTAATATTTAGTAACAAGTTTATATATTGATGATTAATAATTATGATCTGGAAACCAAAGTGGTTAAAACTTGTGGTATTTTTAGAATGGAAATGAACTTAGGCTTACATTGAAGCCTTTGTTGAACCCAACCAGAACCAACCAAACGAACCCCCTAAAACCACTTACTGATTCAGAATAAAAGCTTATCTAAATGTTGACAAAGAATAAATTGCTCAATAATGGACATATTAAATGCTGGCTTTCCCACTCACAGCTTACTCATGTGTGAGCACAATCCATTTACAAGGCAGTGAGGAGCTGTTAAGGACTTGATACTCTTATACTAAGTTCTTCAAAGAAGGGCCTGCCAACATCTTATTTTTGGTACCTAGTGTTGGTAGACAGTATGTAGTTACTACCATTAACAAGTACTTGATAGGCTCCATAGTTTCTCCCCGCTGTTCAAAGTCCACCCATGTCAATGCAAGAGTGCTTACATACACTACTTAATATGTTTAGCACATATTTCATGAAGAATATGAGAGGGAAGGAGCCAAGTATATAACCTGCCATAGTAGGCTTATTTCCCAGTGCCACAGAAGTGATACATGTGTATCACAGTGACTTTTTTTGTCCTCAAGCTACATATTCTCAAATTACTTCAAAACCAAGCTATGGCACTACTGCAAATACAAACTGGCTGAAAGAAGAGACAAAGGCAATGTGCGCTTGCAGCCCAGAAAGCCAACTGCATCCTGAGCTGCACCAAAAGCAGCATGGGCAGCAGGTCAAGGGAGGTGATTCTTCCACTCTACTCCGCTCTCATAAGACTCTACACAGAATACTGTGTTCAGCTCTGGGGCCCCAAGCTTAAGAAGGAAGTGAACCTGCTTGAGCAGTTCCAGAGGAGGGCCACCAAGATAATCAGGGGGCTGGAGCAGCTCCTCTACTCTATGAAGAAAGGTTGAGAGAGCTGGGGTTGCTTAACATAGAGAAAACTGTGGAAAGACCTTATAGCAGCCTTTCAGTACTTTAAGGGAGCCTACAGGAATAATGAGGAGGGACTTTATCAGGAATTGTAGTGATACAACAAGGGGTAATAGCTTTAAACTGAGAATGGGTTTGGATTAGATACTGGGAAAAAATTCTTTACTGTGAAGGTGGTGAGGCACTGGAACAGGTTGCCCAGAGAAGCTGTGGCTGCTCTATCGCAAGTGTTCAAGGCCAGGTTGGATGAGGCTTGGAGCAACCTGGTCTAGTGGAAGGTGCTCCTGCCCATGGCAGCAGGTTGGAACTAGATGATCTTTAAAGTCTCAAGCCAAGCCATTCTATGATTCTATGACATAGACAGGACAGCTGACCCAACCTGACCAAAGGGATATCCCATAATACATGGCGTTGTGGTCAGCAATACTAAGAATACTAAGCTAAGAAAAAGGAGAAGGGGAGGGCATTCATTATTAAGGCATTTGTCTTCCAAAGCAACCACTATGCATACTGAGGCCCTACTTCCCAGCAAGTGTCTGGACATCATTTGTTGATGGGAAGTAGAGAATAACTTTTCTTCCTTTGTTTCCATGTGCAGCCTTTGCTTTTCTTTGTTAAACTGCTTTTATCTTGACCCATGAGTTTTTCACCTAATCCTTTCTCCTCCTGTCCCCCTGAGAGAGTGAGAGAGCCACTTGGTGGTAACCTGGCAGCCAGACAAGGTCAACTCACCACAAATATTGAAAAAAATATAGCTCTGACATTACTCCTATTTCAGAGCAATCCACTTTTAAAAACTGTGTCTACAAAGGAGAAATGTTCAGAAAGGTAATCAACCCCTTTTCTTGCTTTTGGAGGTTTAGGCAACGTTGCACATAGACAAGTTGGATATGGTCTCTTTTAGCTCAGTTTTTCTCCCCATATGGTTAAAATATTTAATAGGGATGGGGATGTAGGCAGATATGCATGTTAATTCAAGTTGATATGGTCTAATTCTTATCCCAAAATGAAAGGACTGTTAGGTTATGCTCTAAGAGTCTACCTAACCATGATCAAAAAACATTGCCAATCCTCTTGACCTAGGTAAGAAAAAAAATCTATAACCTTCCACCAGTTGGATACATCTAAAAGTAGCACAATCTCCTTAATCTGGACAAATGTTGCAGTGTGATGTAATACCCTGTTTCAGCTATCCCAGTTCCTTTCCCAGGTGTGCCAATACTTTCTCCCTTCCCCTCCCCTTGCCTCCTGCTGAGAGCTGTCCGTCAATCTCGGTAGGCCAGCAAGGGCATCGTCTGATTGGCGAAATTTAAAAGATGCCCCTCAGCCCTGGGGACATTGGGCTATCCAGGTGCCACTTGTCTCCTGAGACTTCCCCCCTCCTACCTGGTTGGTGGCATACCTACCCCTTCCCTCCCCCTCTCCCCAGGCTTAAAAGATATGGCGACCACGCGGTTCTGTGTTCTGTTGGAGCTGTTGCAACATTCAGAGGTCTGTGTGCCTGGAATAAATCTCTGGATCAAACCCTCCAGCAGGACCCGTCTCCTTTTTCCTTCACCATCGCCTAAAGCCTTTCCACCAGAGGTAAACCTGAGTTCCTGCTTGCCTGGACTTGTCCCAAGTGCCAGCTGCAACATCCAGCTAGCCAAAGGTGTCTCTGAGGTAAAACCACCTCAGCTGCCGCCTCTGGTCAAGCAGCAAGAGCCAGACGAGCCCAGGCACGTTCTATCCGGTAATATTGGGATCTTATTCCAATAGACAAATAGAAGGAAACTACAAAAGCACTTTAAAAGAAGTTACTGATGTATCCCATTCATGAATTTTCCTTTGAAAGGGTCCTTTACTAACCAAAGCTTTGGCCAAGATAAAGAATTTTCTAGCTCAAATGCATAGAACCATGCAATAACAAGGTCACAACTGCAATCAGAAAGTCCTTTTGTCTGTCAAACGAAATACATATTTTTTTTTTTTGCTATGCAGAAAATTTTGTAGTTAAAGTAAAGAGCAACAGTTTTGAAACTGAATTAAGTTTGGCAAGAGTATTCCATCTTCAAAGTAATTCTTCTGCTTTCGACAAAGTTTCCCTACAAATCTCTTCTCTGAGAGGAAAAAAAGAGAAATAAATTGACACGGAGGCAAACATAACAGGCCAGTAACATAATACCATGCAAATCAAAACCAACAGCAACAGATTATCAGTACTGTGCTAGGCTTTGGGACAGGTTGGAATACAACAGAAACGTACTTGGAACAACTGTTGGGTGAGAGGGTGTCTGTTCTGCAGGCAACAGAGAGAAGGCAAAAGGATGAAGTTACAAGACAATTATGGTGGGAAACAAAATACCTTGAAAGCCAAAAAATCACATTGTGTGGCTCAGAATTCAAGTGTGGGTTTTTTGGGGAGGGTTCATTTTGGTGGGTTGGGTTTGGGGTTTTTGTTTAGTTTTGTTTTTTGAAAGCTGATAAGTCTTACCGTCTTGTTAGTAGTTTTCTGGAATAGAAAAATAGAAACAAAACAGCTGAAGAAGCTGTGTAAATAACAGGAGGAAGTACAATCTTGGGAACACAGATGAGATAGATTGGGGGAAAAACAAGATGCTACAAGGACTGAGGCAAGTTTCATTCTACAGACTGTCAAATTGGAGTTTAATTTATTTTCAAGTGAGGAAAGTACTACTTTTTCCTCTCTCTTTCTCACTGGAAGCAACAAAAAATCCTGAGAAGGACAAAAGTAATTCCACACAGTTGAGCTTCAAAAAAATTAAAGAAATTAACTTAATGAAACTTAATATTTTATGAAGGAGATTAATTCTGACAGCTTCTCTTTTTTTTTTTTTTTTTGTAAACGTGGTCAGTATAACACAATAGGTATACTGAAATAGAGCTAGAAAAGCCATCAGATATACAGTATTGGACTACTGTGCATTTTACTACTAAAAAGCATACAGATTCTTACTGAAAAAACATTAATATAAAATCAGTAACAGACATCTAAAACATACCAATACAGCTGTATGATAGTCACAGAATATACTTAATTCTCTTGTGACAATGTTTGACAAGAGCAATGCAAACTCTATCCATTGTTAAAGTATATACGCATCCTTTACATAAAAATACTTACATATATCTGGATCTTTACTTTTCTTTGTTTTGTTACTAAGACTTATCTCAAATCTATTAATATCAGATGAAAGATCACTGGGGAAAAAGACAAAAAGCCCCAATCAATACTATATTTGGCCAACATTTACATTTATTCTAAAGTTATTTCAATCCTAAGTTATCATGACTAGCCAAAGATACTTAGATTCATACATAAAATTCTATCCATGCATTTGTGGATCCTATATAACCATGCATACAGTATTTTTAAGAAGCAGATACAAAACAGTACAGTGCAAAGAATCTTAAATGCAATGCAACTTTCAAGTGAAATTCAGTAATTCAATAAGATTAAGACTTACTCAAAGACAAATTCTTCTGACCATACAGGGTTCTGACCTTCCCTGATATGTGTTTTTGCTACCTGGACACTGTTCAGGTAGATGTTACAATATGGATTAGTAAAATGTTTTACTGGGAGTGTATGAGCTTCTTCTACATGCAAGATAAGACTGCTGACCTAAAGAAAATAAACAAAGTTTATTTATTTATTTAAGAAAGAATGGAATTCTTCCCCCCCCCCCCCCCTTCCCCCACCCCGACCATGTGGAGGCTTAATGTTAAGGAATAAATATTAAATACAAAATATAACTTCCTAATAGAAAGAGAAGGAAAGAGGAATAATGAAAGATTTTAAGAGGCACCAGGGACAAGGTAAGGGCAACAACTTCAAAATAAACCTCCAGCATCAGAGCTTTACCTAATTTTTTATTTTAAAAACATCAGTATAAGATTTGCAATTACTAACTTTTCTATATATAGAAAATTCTGCTGTTGCAGTGTGTCCCATTTCCTCTCACCTATCCCATCCCCCTCAGGTGTGCCAACCTTTCACCCTCCCCTTTTGCCCTCCTGCCTGGCACCTTCCAGCAAGGCGTTGTGTGATTGGCAGATGCCCCCCAGGCCTGGGCTCATTGGTTTGTCCTAGCGTCCACATCCCCTGACCCTTCCCCTGCTCACACCTGGTTGGCCCTCACCTGTCTGTCCCCTCCCCCTGTCCCCGGGGCTTAAAAAGGACACGAGACCATGCAGTCGGGGTCTCTGCCGGCTCTGTCTGGAGCTGTTGCCAGATTCAGAAATCTACCATGCTACAATAAACTCTGGATCTAAGCTCCTCGGCAGAACCCGCTCCTTTTCTCTTCACCTTCATCTCGTCTGAACCTTTTCCACCAAAGGTAAACTGAGTTCCTATTTTGCCTGGACTTGTTCTGAGCACCCAGCTGCAGCACCCAGCCAGCCAAAGGCATCTCTGGGGTGAAAAACGCCACAGCTGCCGCCTTTGGTCCAGCAGCGAGGCCAGACGAAGCCAGGCAGGACACTCCCCGAAACATCCGGGGTTTAATATTTAATATTCTGCTGAAGCTAAAGACTTGCATCTTAAGTAAGAACCATGGACAAATCCAAACACAATGCTGCATTTCATGCTTTCCTAATAGATTAGGCTCAATTTAAGTCAGCAGTGAGCCCGGGCAGCCAAGAGGGCAAACCACATCCTGGGTTGCATCAAGCACAGCATAACCAGTCAGTCAAAAGGGATGATTATCCTGCTGTATTTAGCATTGGAGCGGCCTCACCTTAAGTATTGTGTGCAATTCTGGGCCCCACCATTTAAGAAGGATGTGAAGGTCCTTGAATGGGTCTAGAGAAGGGCAACACAGCTAGTGAAAGGGCTGGAATGAATGTTCTATGAGGAGCAGCTGAGGACACTGGGTTTGTTTAGTTTGGAGAAAAGGAGGCTGAGGAGTGACCTCATTGCTCTCTACAGTTTCCTGAGGAGGGGAAGTGGAGAGGGAGGTGCTGAGCTCTTCTCCCTGGTATCCACTGACAGGATGTGTGGGAATGGTTCAAAGTTGCACCAGGGGAGGTTTAGATGACATTAGGAAGCATTTCTTTACCCAGAGTGTGGTCAAACAGTGGAACAGGCTTTTCCCAGAGAGGTGGTTGATGTCCCAAACCCATCAGTGTTTAAGAGGTACTTGGATGATGCCCTTACTTAATACTATGCTTTAACTTTTAGTCAGCCCTGAATTGACCAGGGTGTTGGACTAGGTGATTGTTGTAGGTCCCTTTCAACTGAAATCTATTCTATTCCATTCTATTCTAAACCAGTAGATTACATAAAACTCTTGTTTAACACACTACACTGTTTTCTCCCTGTTATAAGGAAGATATTAGTCTGTACCACAAATTCTCAAAATAAGAGCACTTGGAAACTCAATTTCCAAAAAATGAGAAGTGAACACTCTGAACTCATTTACATTAAATACATTTTAAATAGTCTACTATTTTACAAACTTCTGAACTGCATGCAACTCATAGCCTAATCAAATATCTACAGATATCAACTGAAGTCAATTTAGTCAAATATGGGAAATATTATATTAAATCGGGTCAAAGTTTCATTTAAATGCAAATATTCAGTACCTGAAATTTCAAAGGACAGTTTGAGAAACCCTGAAACCGATATAACTTCTGTAAGGCAGTCATGGAAGTATGATTTTTGATCTTTATACACTTCATCTACCTTGATCATTCATGCTTTTTATGGTTTTCACCTCTCTAAATAGTTCAATACTTCCCATACTTATTTACCTGGAAATTCTTTTACTCATTCCAGCCTATAGTTTTATCATTTTCTTTATACATTTGATATAAGATGATCAAAACTAGCTGTATCCTAAATGAGAATACCATAAATATGAAATAGTATCTATCTTCTATACTATTTCTTCATGCAGCCTAATATTTGCTTTGCGTTTGCAAATACAGAATTATTTCAGATGATCACTCTGTAGGTGCTTTGCTTTTTTGGATCCAAATTTCTTCTGCCATTCATATATCAATTGACCTAATTTAGTTTACTTTTTCAGAAGTATTCAATCATCTTTAATGTTGACCACAGAATAATTTTGCATTTCCTAAAAAATCCCACCCATAAAATGTATTCCTTTTCCTATAGACTGGTAAAGCAGCTGCTTCCAACATTCATAGAATTCAAAGATACTAGGGATTCTTGATTCCCATTATTCTTCAATCATCACTTATGTAGTCATTTATTATCTGTCCTCTACCTCTGAAAGAAATTTTGGACACAACAGTACTCTCAAGAAACCAAAAGAATATACACCACCATCACAGTTAAGCACGTATTTGTCACTGAAAAATTAATATATTAGTTATACAATTATTTTGGTTACATGTGACATGTCTGTCAAATCTGGTGAACTGTAAGAGTTAAGACAATACAAATGCTGAATTGTTGACACTTTTCCTTAATGTGATCAGAAATTATTACCTAGCAAAACATCTGCCAATTGCCTAACCACCATTTTGATCTTTGTGCATATAGATATCATAATAGAGTGGAAGTCATTCCCGTTGGTTTAACAAAGGTACTGTATAACTCCAAGAAAAAGAAAGCACATGTAGGATTTACTATTGTTGAAAGGAAAGTTCTGACATATATCATCATTTTGCAACAAGGAGGCAACCCCTCCCCCTCTTCCCCCCCCCCCCATATCTATATAGCTTCACCTGACGTAGACGTTTATTTGATGTCCCTGGACTGTTTTTCCTTAAACTGCAAAACATCTGCAGAGCCTTCATCCAGTCCTAAAAGATAAAGGCACAAAACAGTGTAACAAAAAGTCAGATACGGCTTCTTGCAATAGAACTGACATATCAAAAAGTATCTGAAGTTGTTTCTTTAGCTTAAAAAGAACCAACTTGTATACAACTCAGAGTATGAAACTTTAAATAGTAAAGCAAAATTCATCTATTTCTCAGTAAATCTAAAAAGACGTTTGCAAATTTGAGTTTCTCCTTTTAGAAATATCAAGCATTACTAATGGATATACAGAGACCTTTATCAATTTTCCAGATTAGTCACACTTAATTAAATAAAAAATGGTATATAAAATGAAGCAAGACTTGATTGCTTCTGAGAAAATAACAGATAAGTCAAACTGTTCTGATCGTTATCTCCTCTATTTTTATATGCAGTTGTATTTACTCTGTGTGCTTCAAACAAAAAACAAAGCAGCATTAACAGAAAAACACTGAAAAGTATAACCTTCACCCCCATTCTCTCTGCTCATAAATGCATAAAGCAGAGTAGATACTTGGGAAGGTGGAAGATATGCTATAGCCTCACTTCTCCTGTTTTCACATCCCACACTGTCAAATTTTGTAAATTCTCATGAAGCACAAAATTTAGGCTTTGACTAACATTTATAAAGGTGTAGGTCAAAGATCTGCTAGCTACTCTCAAAGTGCAATTTAATAATTTTTAAAATACAGCTACATTAAATATTGCAGCTATTCTCAAGTAAACTACTTTGGGAGTGAAGTTTAAGCTTTCAAAACATTCCATAAAACAAGGAACTGTCAACTATGCATCAGATTTTTATTAGCTTGCTTTCTTATTCAAATAAGAAAAAGCAAATAAAGAACCATAAAACTTACTAAACACTCTAAATTAATCTAAATGTTTCCTAGATAGTCATCTTTATTCTCCCTTTTAACAGAAAAATCTATACCCTTAAACATCACAGTTTACAGCAGCAAGTATGAACAGTGCACCATAGTATGCACAATGACACTAGTTGTCATGACGCCAACATATATCATGTATATGAGGCTAACACTACATTACATTACATTGACCTAATGGTTTGTACAAACCTCAGACAACGTGCAATCCATTGGACAGCTGCTTTGATATTTACCACATTATATGAAAACCATACAATTTTCCTTAATATGACAACAAAACTATTCTTCTGTGAAATGTTACAAAGTACAGACAGCTGTAACTTCTGAGAACATAAGCATCAGTAAAACATCTGACTTACCTGAACCAGAATCATTTTATAAAAGAAATCCCAGTATTCTGTATAAATGCAGTGAACATCTTAAGTGTTAAGCAAATCTAAACCAAAAGCAGATTATACCAAATGTTCAGAAAACAGGACAGGACATTCTGCATGTCCTGACAGGATATTCTGCCTACTACACATTCTTAAATAAAATCAAATGCATAGCTTGACTTCTGACACAAAATGTCTGTTTCAGAGCTCTGGAATACCAAAACAACTTGATGAATAAGAACATCATCACATCTTCCATATGCTCTCTTATTAGTGAGTCACTTTTAGAGATTTAAACTCCATTCCTACACTTCTTAATCAGCAAACATTAACTGTTAAGAGAGCTAATAACTAAACGATACCAATATAAAACACTAAAACACCTTTATTTTATGCAAGATCAGGGCCTAAGACAGGACAAATAACTGTTAATGGTTCGACAGATTTTGATTGGTGGGCATACCTCCTTTGCATTTTAGTTCTTATCGGGAATGTGCTCTTGAAGCAAAACTCCCACTTAGCATGCTCTGGTTCATTATTTGGAAGAGTGCTGGAAAGCAAACTTTTTTTTTTTCATTGAACTACTCCAAAATATATTCTCCAGAAATATCTAATTGAAACTAATGGAAGTTCAGTCCATGGGACCAGACTAGAACTTCTCCAAAGTAGAATCCCTAAAGCATAGGTAATGTAAGTGCTGGATTATCATCACCAGCTATATCCCTTACAGATCTGCTATTACTGCATGGAAATATTTGCTAATGTAGACATAGCCACCATACATTGTACACTTGCTTTCTATTAGAGAAGGATAATATTATTAAATACTACAAAACAAAAAATTGCTTTTAAAATTATATTTATCAACAAAAGCTCTCACCTGCACTTGTTCTTGAGTTTCTCCTGCAAAGTAAAAGATGTAATGGTCTTCACTGAAGTGCTGAACTACTATCTGAAAACAGTTTGGCCTTAAAATCAAACAAAACAAAAATGTCAGAAAAAAACCCAACAAGAAATATCTCTACATGCTTCAAAAGTGCATTTTGGTTGGAATTAACAATGCAATTTCAAGAAAACTGCACTATAGTTCAACTAGTTTGTTTCAGAATATTTAAGAAACTTGGAACAATTTGTATTGAATATACATATACACTGACTTACACTTGAGGCAAAATGCATCTGATAGCATTATCAAGTCTTTTATGAGGGCTATTTACCACAAACATTTTAAATGATGCACAGGTTCAGCATTACACCCCAAGCACTTAATCATGCCTTATGGATTTGTTGTTTTAGGAGTTCAGAAAACTATATTAACATAAGGAGTTCTTTATCTGAATGTGTTCCACAGCTCTCACAACCAATTAAATGTGTACTGGATCATGTGTCATAGAAACTTTTAAAGCTTTGAAATGTGAGTATAACATCTTCTCCATTTTATGTATGTACACTCATTTGTCAAGAAATTTAAAAAATATTTTGTACTGTTACATTAAAAGTTGCACACTACAAGTACACTGAGTCTTCCACATTACCTTCAAGGTGATTTGGCTCTCCCAAACACAGTTACATGAAGGATCTTACTTCATTTGCATATGATATTTCAGTCTTCCCTTCCCCCCATCCATTGTTTAGGTAAATACTGGCATGGCATTTTCTGGCCATGCACACAGGAGGATTGAGGAGGGGGGCAAAAAGTAGCTGGGTCAGGGGCTACTCATGACATGCAAAGCTACAGCTCTCACTGTACTACTGAGAAAAAGGGAAAGATATTTTAAGTAGGTGGTAAAAATAAGAGGAATTTTGTCTCAACTACAGTTCTTCATCAACAGTTTTCCCAAGCAGGTGCAACCATACATCTTTTACCCACAGCTTCTGTGTTACTTATTATCTGAATATATTTTAAGTCACAGTACAGCGTTTCTTAGAAGCTGCTCAACAGTCACCATTAACTAAAACACTCCTTGTTTAGTCTCCACCAAAGTTTTGTGTATAATTGCCAACTTTCACGAGGAATATTTCAGTATTTTTTTAAATGGTACCCTCATATCTATGGCTCCTCATTGCAATAGTTGCGCAGATCTTTCAAAATGATTGCAACATGTCTAAAAATCAGATGCTACAAGAACACCAGATCTTTGCAGCTTAAGAAATACCACTAATTTTAAACATCTATCGTCACATTATCTATGTGAAAAGACTTTAGGTTGATGAAATGCCCTTAATAAATATTAAGATGCATGGAATAACCAGAGCTGCTGTTTAATGTGTTTTTCCATCTGTTATGAAAAAATAACATTTGCAGGAGTAAATGCATCTTTTTCTTCTATATCACACAGGACTACATATTTTTTTTATAATTAACAATGAAAAAAGTGTGATCTCTTTCATCTTAGTTACCAATGATATCAGGAAGTAGTTTGATTCTCAATGTCTTTGCCAACAATCAAATCACTTGCAGTTGACATATTTAGTACAGTAAATGAAACTGTGAAAATGCTCTCTTCCAAAAATAATTTTAAAAATGTTTGCTTATATGAACTAACTTGCTCCTCTAACATTGGTTGGTTTAATCTGATTCTTACTGATTCCTAAACAGAAAACCATTGACACATTATCTACTTAATTTAGCGTTCTAATACCTATCAACAAATGAATGTAGATCTTTCGGAACGGACAAAATTCTTGATCTTATCAATTCTTGGTTCAATCGGATTAAAACACTCAATACAGTTGCTTCACAATCTTTTTAATACATGTAGAACAATTAATACACAATATTGAAAAATGACAGTGCAAAAGGCCAAATCATTATCACATGATATTACATGAGAAAAATCTTAAATTCCAAAATTTCTTACTAGAAGCTGTTTATGAACAGCTACTAGCAATCAAGCTGCCATGGCTTAAGTTTCCATTAATCAGTTAAATTTGTTTACATATGTTCTTGCAATCTACACCAACTATGGAATAAAATGCAGTATGAAACAAGAGTCACAATACTTGCATTTCACAATCAGCAAAAGCTAAAAAAACCCTAAAACAACAACCAACCAAAAAAACCCCACACATGGACAGTAACCAGGGCTCAGGTGTCACAACCCAAGTTTATTGTGCCAGGCCAACTTGTTCATTAGTGACGAATTGTTTGTATCTTGTATATGCCTCAAGCTAGTAGTTAGCTGTCCTGCTGTATGTACAAGAATTAAAAGCCAGTGCCCTACCTGCCAAATAAACTGTCGTGTACTCCATAGACCGAACACACACTAAGGTCTATTAATCCTTTAGGTTTTGTGGCTCGTTTTTCACTTTCAAAATAAATAAGCTGGGCATCATTTCCCTCCAATATAAAGTACAAGTTTTTCCATCTCTTCCCTTTACCTGTAAGGAAAGTACAATATTGTTTTAAAGAAAATGTAAATTCGATAAATGAAGAAAAAAGAGAGCAGTAAAGTTTTTGCCAAAATACAAACAGAAGAACAACATACAGTTAATTATGCTTAAGTAATAATATCAGTATAAATAATAATTTTTTTCAGCATGTAGCTAAAACTAGACCCTCTTCACAGATTAAAGTACAATTTTAGATGGTTCACTGTGCCGGTTTTGCATTGGAGCCACCCACGGAAGTGATTTTTCTGAGAGGAGCTGTTAATAGCTCCTTCTGTGCCTAGCAAAAGCAATAGCTGGCTAGCTCTGAGAACTGACAACCTGTTAAAGCATTAAGAAAGCTAGATCTGCTTCTGTGAGATTCACATTTTAAAACTAACAAGCCCGGGAAAAGCTCTCTTGCTTCCAGCTTTTGAAGGGAGAAGTTCTTCCCCCCCCCCCCCAGGCCCGGTGGCTGGGCGGGGGAAGAGAGGACGTGAGGCCTCGGCCGAAGCCAGGCCAGGCCCGGCCCGGCCCCAGTGGCTGCCGGGAAGGGAAGAGAAGGCCATCCGCCCCAGCGTACTGCAGCTGAGCCCTAGCCTAGTTGCTGAGATCCCAACCACGCCCCCCTCCTTCAGCGCGGCCTGAAATAAATCACCTAAGTGCTTCAGCCACAGCGTAGCAGAGACCACATGACCACCTGCAGGCCTGGGTGAGATATTAACTCTTTCACTGCACGGATGAAACTTGCAAAACATCGATCCTCTCTCAAGTGGAAGAAAAGAAAAGAGTGAAGACACATAGAAGACAACATGAGGTACTGAGGTCAGTAAAGAAGTCAAATTCCAGATGGGAGGAGAATGAGGAGATGCCTTAGTTTTGGGCTGAAATCCTCTTGTAAGGCTATGGAGAAGAATATAATTGATACATCAGACTCTTTTACCCTGTAACTCATTAAATGCATTGGGGGGATGTAGCATTCTAACCACAGCCATGAACAGAGGCACTAGTGTTGAAATAAGCAGATGTTGCAGTAGCTGTGATCAAATGAGAAGTTCGAACAGAGAGAAATGAGAGAGATGAGAAACCTTGCCTCAGGAATAGAAGAAGACCTGTTCCCAGAGATAGATGAAGAGACCTTTTGCTTTTATGCTAGAACAGCTTATCCTTAAAAATGGCACCCCAATAAATTGACATGGCCCAGGAACGCAGCTGTGGGATGGCTGCAAGAGATGGCAGGGACTTCACAAATGCAGATTCCCAGGTGGCTGCTATTCGTGGAAATTAAAAACCATGAGAGAACTCTTTCTTGTGGAGAAGTCTCCATGGCATAGCAAGAGAGACTCCTCTCCCTGAGTGAACTGAATAATGACTATTTTAGAGTTGTTAAACTGACTGAAAATACCAGGTTTTGTTTCTTTACGTTATCAGGGGAAAGGAAAGAGGAGTTGGGGGGGAGAAAAAGTGTTTTAAAGGTTTATTCTGATTTCTTTTTTTTTTATTTATTTTAGTTCTGTTAATAAAGTTTTCTTTATACCTTTTAAAGTTTCAGCCTGCTCTGCTCCTCCTCCTAAATCCTTATTTCATAGCAGAAAATGAGTAAATAATTTTATTGGCTGCATTGGCATTGGGCCAGCACTAAACTCATAACATTATTTGGTGCATTGGCCAGGAAATCTAAATTGGTGAACCAAAACCATTACACAAAATTGGTGTTTCTGCCTGGTTTTGAACTGAAACTGCTACAGTCACTAAACATTTTCATTAATCTCAACAGGATTAAACAAGTGTGTGTGAACTCTGTTCTTATCAGTGAGAAGACTGCATCTATATTTTGCAAATAATGTATGGTACTGTAAACAATCTCATTTATTATGGCTATTTTAAGTAAGAAACAGAGTTCTCTTTACATGATAAATTTATTTCTAAACTCTTACCGACTGATCAGCATAACAAATTGCATCACAATATCTTAAAATGACTAAAAACCAGAAATGGGAATACAGTATATGCAAATCTGGATCAGAACCATGCCCCAATAATACATATAAAAAAAATTTAACCATTAAAAAAAAAAAGTTAAAAAAAAAAGCTAATACCCAGAGATTTATATGTTGAGGTTTGTTGGAAGACAAATTAGATGTGCCAGTAAAATGTGGATTTAGCCATTGACTAAAACAACAAAAAAAAATCACTCATTGTTTAATGTTCACTGAATAAAACTGATAAGGTTCTGAACTAATTCATACATAAAGCACAGTACTTTTTGAAAAAACATTCAGCCTTAATTTTCAACTTGATCATCATAGATCCACCACAGCCTGTCATAAACAACCTTTTGCTCACTTCAATTTTGCCTCTGCTAGTACCACTACTACACAAAATTTGCACACATACCTGCATTTTTTAGAAAAAAAATACATTTTATAAAATCAAACAGAACTCACTTTTTTTTAGAAGATATCCTTTTTTGACAATATTTTTATAAAAAGCATCCTTTGTTTTGCGACGAATTGTATTGTAGATTTCTTTTCCATCGACTGTATCATTAAACACTTGTTCTTGATGCTGGTAAACGAGGAAGAAATCAACATTTTTTTAAGCTCAGAAATCACTGTGAAACAATTGCATACTATGCAGCTGCAACCAAACTTTTATTGAATCCTACTAATTCCTTATTCTCTCATGTATCTTAACAAACCAATATAATTTAATACAATACATTTGGCAGAAATGTAATATAACTATTTCTTGTGGAATGATTAGGCCACAATTATAATATGAGAAGAAAAACTAGGTTTAAATACAGACTAATTTTCAAAAAGTAACATCTGTATTTATGTTTTTTAATACTAAATAGCTTTCAGCAATTTATGCAAAATTTACACAAATCTTTAAAGGTTCTTTAACATCTGTCTTCTACCACGGATTTTGAGACTGAGTAATTAAGGATAAACTCTGAACCAACAAGAATGGTATAGATCACAATAAAAACTGAATTATTAACACACAGCTAATGCACAGTTCCTCACTAATCTTATTAGCACTCATATCCTAAATTACTATCATTCTAACAAAAAGCAATAGGAGAAAGTAGAAACAGGACATTGAAAAAGGATAAATTCACATATAAAATGAAGATCTGGAAATAATGTTACCCAGCTAGAATGGCCAAAAGCCAAGCCAAGTTTGACCTTACCAAGTCAGCTGATCAGCAAAAGTTCTTTAGCCATAAGAAAACATGAAAAGCAAGACTATCAGGCAGAGAACAGTATCAAGATGAAGTGATATGCACTAGCTCCATACTAAATACTTTACTTTTCTCTCCTCTATTCCATAAGAATAATGGTTTTAAACAACATGACAAAGGCAAGATGAAAAACATTTCAGTAATAGGAATTACAGGGCTGACAATAGAAGCAATATCCAAGTTTATACTAACTCGGTATAATCTCCATAACATATCTATGAAAAAAATAACATAAAAAACAAGACATCTAGTGAAAAATGTTTTAAAGTAAATTTCAAAATTAGAAACAGGAAGTCTACTAGATTGAAGCAACAGCATGCAAGACTTGTGGGGTTTTTTTCTTCACAAACAGAGCATGACAGTATGTGGTAATTACATCACCAATATCTTTTTTTTTTTTAACAAAGGAAAGTCACAAATATATCTTAATAACTTAAAATAATTTGATGCAGTCTCACATGGAAAATTAGTCAACACAGAGAAAGTTATTTATACAGGAACCATAATTGGATAGACAAAGTGCCAAAAGGAAGATGATCGTCATAATCCAAAAAGAATGATAGAGGGCAAGGAAAGTTATTGGGTGAAGCTTTTCAAGGATCAGTCTCTGAATTCAAGTTTCCTCACATTTGTCTCAAACACATTGAAGAGCATGAGCTAATAGAAGCAGAAAACTGGGAAGCATTGATGACAAGTCAGCAGAAAAAACCCCAAGCAGTCCGAATAATAAGGTATAAGTCTACTAATACAAGATAAAATTTGCTCTTGTTGATACTTACCAATAGCAAACAATATAATACAATGTGGGTATGGTAATGACACAGATAACGTTCTAAGATATGACACAGATAACCTTCTGCAATCTGGTAAACACTCTCACAGAAAAAAGGAATTACTAATGACATTGAGCTGTTCTGGTTCATTACATTCAAGAAACACAAACTCACACTGGAATATGGTGCTAGTAGGGCAGCTACAAGAATCTTACAAAAAGACAAAACCAGATTTTGGTATGCTCATCTTAGTGAGCTGACTAAAGAATAATACAAAGGAATGCCCTTGAATTAATATAATAGCTCTAACAAAGGGGTAACTATTTAGGTTAGAAATTAAAAACAAATTTCTAACCATCAAAACAGGAAAGTTGAAGAATAGATAGGGAGAAAGGATAAAAATATACTTTTGAACTAGTTATAACTTTAGGAAAAACTAGACAATATAGTTTGTTTATTATCAGTGGTCTCTTAGGATGAATTTATGCTACAGGGCAACAGTGTTCTTGAACACACCCTGTAATCCTGGCCCCTTGATCATCTCTGAAGATTTTCTGTTCATATAGATTTTTTTGAGGGAAGAAAGATATTAGACACAGAAGAATAGAGAGCAGCCTAGTTCAGGGACCAGAGTTAGGGACACAAGATGGAGCATTTACACCCCAGAGCACAGACAAAGCTAATAACTTCTGTTTATTACAAGCCAATAGATAAACTAATGCATATGAAAATAAAATAAAAGAAACATAAACTCAAAACAAAAATTCAGGAGGGAATGATGTTGTTTAACTACAATGGATACCTCTGCAGTAATTCAGTTCCTATATCATAAATATTTGAGGACTAAGTCAATACCTTCAATTACAAGCGCTCAGAGATGAAGTTTTACCTGCATTGGAACAGGATCTTTAAGGTAATATCCTTCAACAATCTGTTCTTTTCTATAATGTTCAATGATCTCTGCAATACTGTTCAAATAAGAAAAATAATATTTAAAATGTTAAATCAATTAGTTTTTCCTCTCTATGAGACATGCAGTCACACTACATTTCCTCACAGATTTATAATAAAAATCAAGTGTTAAACATCATAATCTCATTTGCAGCAATGACAATCTACTAATAAATACATTGAAGTCAAGAAAAATCACAGAACTGTATTTATTTATTCTAAACATCACAGAATATTTTCAATCAGTTGTTGAAAATGCATGTATTGAGTATGTCTGGGATGGAGTTAACTTTCCCCACAGCAGTCCTCACAGTACTGTGCTCTGTATTTTTAGCTAGAAAGAGGTTGATAAACAACCAGTTTTGGCTACTGCTGAGCAGTGCTCCCACAGCATCAAGGTTGTCTCTCCAACCCCATTCCTCAAAAGCCAATAGGCTGGGGGTGGGCAAGAGCTTGGGAGGGGACATAGCCAGGAGAGCTGACCCAGCCTGACCAAAGGGATATCCCATACTGTATGACGTGCTCAGTAATAAAAGCTAAGAGAAGGGGAGAGGGGGGAGGGCATTCATTATTAAGGCATTTGTCTTCCAAAGCAACCACTATGCATACTGAGGCCCTACTTCCCAGCAAGTATCTGAACATCACTTGCTCATGGGAAGAAGAGAAAAAAAATTCTTGTTTTTCCTTTGCTTCCCTGTGCAGCCTTTACATTTCTTTGTTAAACTGCCTTTTTCTTGACCCACAAGTTTTTTACCCTATTTTTCTCCCAGTCCCACTGAGGGGGCTGGGGGCCGAGAAGGGGTCTTGGTGGGCACATGGCAACCAGACAAGGTCAACCTACCTCAATGCCAAATGAGTACACTACCTTTTCCACATTCAAGTAACACATGTGCATTTCTCAGCTCTCCAAACAGGCTGAAAATTGCTATTTTATTGGTAATAATTTTCAAAGTCCTAGAGTAACTAAGAAAGGGGAATGGAAGATATTTCAAACTGTTGAAATCAAGTTTTTTTTTGGAAGATGAGAATGGGAAATCAAAAAAAGTTTTGTAACATGGACTATACAGATTGTACGTCAAATCACTGAACCATCGTGTTAAATTAAACACCCAGTCAGCAACATGTTTCTATGGGTAAGCTTACATTTTAATTACCAAAGTCAGGTTTAAATTCTATTTTGAAGGATCAGGAAAGAAGTAGTGACAGACACAATCTAAAATTCAATATATCTTTGAATTGCTCTTATTTTTGTAGTTATTGAAAGTTACATTGTAATAAAGAGAAGTTAACATCAACACAGATGAAGCAGTCATATATGAAATATAAACCTGAAGATAAGAAGGTAATTCAGAAGAGAACAAAAACAGACATTATGTGTTTTCTCATTTCATATAAACTGTTAGCTGTGTGTGCAAATGTAATCAAGGAGGCACGCATGCTAGATCTTTGGCCTATTACAATTGGATAAAATTTTATTGAAAGGAAAAATATAGGATACTATAAAAATTATCATAAAAACAATTATAAAATACATGTAACTAAATCAATATAAAGACATCTATTTGGTTTGTCTCAATTTCATTCTTCTAAAGCTATGAACTAGTGTATACGCATTAAGCTAAAAATGTTCACAGGAAGATTAGTTATTTTTTCAAGTTTGTAATGACTTGAATTTTTCAATATTACTAAACCCCAAATAAATTTAAATTTTTATTGATATGCAACATGCATATGCCATTTTCACCATGAAAATTTAAGCTTTACTACACTGTATAAAATAATCACTCACTGTATTTTGCATGTTGAACAGCTATTGCCAATATGAGGGCAATCAATAATAAAGTAGCTTTATACAATTTCTTTAGCCCTCTTCTCCCCCACACACTCAACTCAGATGGTCATTATCTATTGTCACCACTGAAGCAGTCCAAATGACTGAACAAACCAAACATTACAAACAGAAAGATACTACATATAATCAAATACACTTGAGAATGAATTATCAAGTCATCCAAGTTATATAACGTAAAATACAAAGCATGAGATGGAACAGACCACAAAAAGAATCAAGGTGACAGGAAAATAGGATTTATAAAAATTTTCAGCATCTGATATCAACAAAATCCTACTTACACAAAATACATCAAGAAAGGTATAAATAAGTATGAATTTATAAAAAGGAATGGTTAAACTTGCTTTGATATGGAGAAATAAATGTGAGTCTCAATACTACACTACAGTTACATTAGTAATTGTAAAATGTTTAGCATAGTTTATTAGGCTGCCCAGATCCTAGCTACATGGATAATTTTAAAAGTATCTCATCATATTAAGTAGTATCAGTCTTTTAATACTTAATGGGTGAATTAAGGGTTATTCCAACAGCTGATGATAAGGATGTTAGAACAGAACAGCATTTTACTCTGATAAGGACAATAGAACAGAACAGAACAGCCTTGGAGAAATAGATAAAGGATGTAACTTAGGCAAACAAAAGTCATGCAAAATGCAAGCAGGATGCCAGCTCAGCTCTGCAAGGCTGACAAAGCAGAAGTTATGCAAAACAACAATATTGCGCTTACTCTAAAGCAGGGCTCAAGGAACAGCCACCTAAAAAAGGACACCAGATGTTGAAGACTACTGAAGAAGCATATAAGGACTTCTGATAAGGGGTGTGACTATGTAAAATAAAGCCAAGGAAGTGGGGATAGCTAATTAATATGTAATGCATGTACATCAAGTAAGCAGGGATAGCTAATGAATATTTAATCAGTGTGTATGATAAAAACTCTGTTCACTTGATGCTCAGGGCACTTGATTAGAGTGACCAGCATGCTGCAATAAAGAATGCCTACTTTCTAATACTCAAAACTGTGTTAGAAAGTTTCTATCTGGCCAATTTTGGAATCACTGACATTTCAAATAGTGAATACAGAAAACAGAACACTACATCATTAAATTATAAGGAAAAAGACATGAACATGTTAATACGTGTTAAGCCCATATTGTTCAGCCTATCAAAACATGGATTAATATATCAGTTAAAATAAAAAAGTCTTCCAACAACTCCAGTCATCATCTAGTCTGAAAATTGTCTCATCTCTCAAATTAAAGATAATTTGAAAGCTTGTTCAATCTATAACTGTTAGGTCAATATTTCTTATGTTCTACTTTGACATGGAATCAACAGATACACCACTGTGTGCTGCTGTCCCCCTTCTAAATTTTTCAAGTTTTTGGAAAACTCTCTCTTAGGAAGGTGAGATTTCAGAAAGAAAACAGAATGAGAGGACAAAGTGGCATGAGATATGCCTATCCTACTCCACCTTCTAAAATCCGAAGTGAAACTTTAAAATTGTCACCTTACATTCAAATATCATTTTACTTCCCAGGTAGTTAGCATATCCAGACATGGGACTGGAAGTTTCACAACCTGTATAAGCAATACTACATTTCTGCCTATACTCCAAAAGCAAGCACAGGTAGCATTTTCCTTAGTCTTCCCAGTAAGAGGGAGAGGCTTTAGAATAAACAGGTGAACTCAAGACATCTGGATCCAGGACTGGTGCCTCTACCAGAATATTGCTTTTTATAACCATGGAAAGTCTGAGACACAAGGTATGCTGGGACCTGACATGATCCATCTGTCCTGACAGGGGAAACGCTTCCTTGTTCATAAACTCACAGGACTGATTGAGAGGGCTTTAAACTACAATCAGTGTAGGAAGGGGACACCAACAGGAGAGCTGAAGGTAAGCCAAGTGTTGTCATGGTATCACCTGAGGGTGGCAATGCTAATGGAGTGCTGGAATGATGGGCTACAGGCTATTCAGGAGGGATAGGCAGAGCAGGCAAGGTGGATGAGTTGCACTGTATGTAAGGGAGAGATGTGACTGTACAGTACTTACAGTTAACATTAATGTGGCTGAGAGACTCTGGGTGAGGATTTGGGGGATGGAAAACAGCAGCTGTCAGAGTAGGTGTCTGCTATCCATCTCCCAGCCAGGATGATAGCACTGATGAGTTATTCTACAGGCAATTAGGAGAAATCTCTGGATCAGTAGCCCTTATCCTTATGGGAGTTTTCTACTTCTCTGACATCAACTGGGGATATCATATTGCTGTGACAATTAACTCTAGGAAATTCCTAAAGTTTGTAGGAGATAACTTCTTGTGACAGGTACTCAGTGAGCCAACTAGGAAAGATGTCATCCTAGACTTATTGTTTGCAAACAGAGAAGGACTCGTGAGATACGATGGTAGGTGGCTGTCATGGCCACAGTGATCATGAAATGGTTGAGTTTAAATATTTCAGTGTAATGAGAAAAAAGGACAGCAGAGTTTCTACCCTGGACTTCAAGAGAGAAAACTTTAGGCTATTCAGATTGCTACTTAGCAGTGTCCCCTGGGAATCTGCTTTTGAGGGCTTAGGGGTCTATGAGTACTGGTTGGTCTTTAAGAACCACCTTTTAAAAGCACAGGAATAGGCAATTCCAGTGTCACAAGTCAAGCAAATGGGACAGAAGACCAGCTTGGCTGAACAGGGAAGTCCTTGTCAAGCTCAGAGGGAAAAAAATTTTAGGATCTCTGGAACTGAGGTCAGGCTTCACAGAAAAATTACAGAGCCCTTGTTTCCATATGAAGGGAGAAGACATCGAAGGCCAAAGCTCAACTAGCGTGTAAACTCTGTCTGGAGAGTAGCCCTGCAGAAAGGGATCTGGGGGTGCTCATTGACAACAGGCTCAATCGAAGGCAGCAGTGAGCCCCGGCAGCCGAGAGGGTAAACCACACCTTGGGGTGCATCAAGCACAGCATAACCAGCCAGTTAAAAGAGGTGACTATCCCTCCATATTTAGCATTGGAGCAGCCTCACCTTGAGTATTGTGTGCAGTTCTGGGCCCCACCATTTAAGAAGGATGTCAAGGTCCTTGAATGCGTCTAGAGAAGAACAAAACTGGTGAAAGGGCTGGAATGAATGTCCTATGAGGAGCGGTTGAGGACACTGGGTTTGTTTAGTTTGGAGAAAAGGAGGCTGAAGGGTGACCTCATTGCTCTCTACAATTTCCTGAGGAGGGGAAGTGGAGAGGGAGGTGCTGAGCTCTTCTCCCTGTGATCCAGTGACAGAACATGTGGGAATGGTTCAAAGTTGTGCCAGGGCAGGTTGCGACTTGACATTAGGAAGCATTTCTTTATCCAGAATGTGGTCAAACAGTGGAACAGGCTTTTCCCAGAGAGGTAGTTGATGTCCCATGCCTGTCTGAGGACAATGCCCTTAGTAATATGCTTTAACTTTTGGTCAGTCCAGGACTAGATAATCGTTGTAGGTCCCTTCCAACTGGAACAAATAAACAAAAAAATCCAACCAACCCCACTCACCCAAAAAAAAAACCCCAATTCCAAAACCTACCCCAAAGCAAAAAACTAAACCAAAAAAACCCACACCCTCCTGTAACAAAACCACATCATAAACAAAAACAAACAAAAGAAACCCAACTGTAAAACATGGAAGCTATTCACAGAACAGCTGAGGTTGCAAGGGACATCCAAGATCACCTAGTTCAAGTCCCCATTTCAAAGAAGGTATAACAGATTTCTTAGAATCTTGTTCAGCAATGTTCTGAATATCTTTAAAGATGGAGACTCTACAAGCTCTTAAGCTATTCCCTTCCAGTGTTTGATCACCATCACACTGGCCACCACTACTAAGAGTTTCTCTCTCTCTTCTTTGCTCCCTCCCTATCAGGAATTTATACAGAATAATAAGATTCCCCACCACCACCTTCTCTTCTCAAAGCTGAACAGTCACAGCTCTCTCCACTTGTCCTCAAACGACAGATACTCTAATCCATCATCTTCATGGCCCTTTTCTAGAAGTCTACAACACCTGGACTCAGTATTCTCAAGCAGTCTCCCATCCAGTATTAACTGGGCCCAAAGCTGCTTAGCTTCTAAGATGAAATGAAACAGAGTATGTTCAGGATGGTGTGGCCACAGACTAGTAAGCATATATTTTCTGTTTGAGATTTCATGATATGCAGTTGGTAAAATCACATCTCCTGTCTCACCATCATGCCCCTTGCCCCCCAACTGACTTTGACAATTTTTACATGAAAAAGTAGATATTCATAGAATCATTTAGGTTGGAAAAGACTTCTAAGATAATCAAGTCCAACCATTAACCTAGAACTGACAAGTTCACCACTAAACCATGTCCCTAAGTACCACATCTACACAGCCTTTAAATCCCTCCAGGGATGGTGACTCCACCACTGCCCTAGGAGGCCCTTTCTAATGCTTGACAACTCTTTTGGTGAAGAAATTTTTCCTGATATTCAATCCAAACCTCCCCTGGCACAACTTGAGGCAATTTCCTCTTGACCTATTGCTTGTTACTTGGGAGAAGAGACCAACACCCATTTTGCTAAAATCTTCTTTCAGGGAGTTGTAGAGAGCAATAAGGTCTCCCCTGATCCTCTTTTTCTCCAGGCTAAACCTCCATTTCCTCAGCCACTCCTCATAAGACTTGTGCTCCAGAGCCCTCCACAGCTTCGTTGCCCTTCTCTGGACACACTCCAGCACATCAATATGTGTCTTGTAGTGAGGGGCCCAGAACTGAACACAGTATCCAAGGTGTGGCCTCATTAGTGATAAGTACCCCAGTAGTCACCTATCTTGTCCATGGAATAAACATAAAGATCACAAAAGTTACATGCTTTACTGAAGTCCATGGAAAAGTACTATTTCAATATCTAGTCAAAATAATTCACTCAATATGTATTTCACATTTGCTATATATTAAGACCTTCAAATAGACAACTAAAAGACTACAGACTGTCTGTTTTGTAGAGATTATATAAGAAATAAGGAAAGCAAATCTCCATATGAGTGTAAATATGGTCTGTTAGTTATACTCATCAATAGAAGTTTTGAGCAATTTATATGCAGAATAGTGGGTGAACATGCAAATGGAGAAGGTTAGTAGAAAAAGTAGTCGTCCTATGCCTGACAGAACACTAGATTCCCAAGATGTACCCAGGAATTTTTTGCCATGATCACCCAAAATAACATTGTCTGGCTTTTGGAATATAGTCTGATACATAGCATTGCTTATATTGGTTCCAGTCCTATGTCTGGATATTTACATTACCTGGAAAATAAAACAACAGTCAGCTTTTGAGTTGGTTTCTTAACTATTCTTCAGGCTGTTACTTTTGTACGGAAAACTTTGTTCTACAATTTTTGTGGCTATAATTGTAATCAATACTCTGCAAAAGAAGATTGGCTTTATTTTATCCATTTTTTAATCCCACTTAAAATCACTAAAGCAGCAAGAGAAGAATATTCAAGAGAAACAACACTACTACCATGTGGGATTCACGTTCTCTGAACCTGAGAGAAGCAGTGAGAGAAGCAGAGAAGAGAATGATCAAAACAATTCTTATCTCATTCGCTGCTCCTGTGTTGTGCCAAAGTAGAATGCAATATGGAGATTGTTTACCCAGAGTGATGGTGTTTTGTTTCCTTGGCCTATCAGGGCCAAGCGTGTGTGTCAGGACTGTCAGCTGACAGTCACGAGATTCTGTGCAGTTGAGTTGAGTTGAGTGCTTTTGTAGATTCAGTTTAGATGTAATGTAATATAGTGTAATATGGTATAGAATAATATAGCATAATAAAGTAATTAATTAGCCTTTTGATAAGATGGAGTCCTCCTCATCATTCCTCCCAGATGTTGGGCAAAATATCACCAATACTACCAAGGATGATTTTTTTCAAGTTCCAGTCTAATACTAGTATCAGATTTAAAGCAGATACCTTCAGAGTATTTAAAGAAATAGCTTATAAAAAAGATCAATGAAAACTGTTTAACATATGCATTTAAAGAAGCAGCACATCTTCAACCTCTAGTTTTTCACCTTGAAGACAAACTCTACATTTTTGATGAAGAATAAACACAGATGTTCTCTCTGCCCCAATAAATGCTCATAAATAATTTCATTATCTTGCAGAAACTCATACTTCCTATATTTCTGTTCTGAATTTAATGCCATTTGATGCTTTTCAGCAACTTCTGACTGTTTCATACAACAATCCACCTTAGTCTTCACATATTTAAAGACTTCCTTCTTCCAGGGTCCATAACAAATAAACCAGTACAAGAATTAAGAAGTCCACAGAAAGCTATTCCTTTTTTTTCTGCTTCTCATTTATTGCCCTCTGCAGTATATCTTATGGTAAATAATTTGGGGCAGTTACCACCTTCATTTTGCATAATTATCCTGCATGTTTGAACTTTCAAGAAGTCTATCAACTGTCAGTAAATATGAATTGGACAGAATTTGAGCCTAAGAGTATATTAGTAATTCTCCAAAACATTCAATTAAAACTATAAGTCTTTCAAAGCCAAGTAGTTCTCTCACACTGAGGAAGATCTTTGCAACCTAGGTACCAAAATATTCAAAAAGCCCTCTAAAAGCATATTATCATAATTTAGTGGTGCTTAATCTTTTCATCTTCTTTTCCATCCAGTGTCAAGGAAAGAATCTTCTCTAGTGAATCCAGCAGTGGGAAGTAATAACTTACTGCAGTAAGTTTCAGGAGCTATACTCTCTAATACTGCGAAGCCATTTGAGACTAATAAGACTTCCACTAATTTGCTAATTAGCTTGACATCACCTACAGTGTTTGAAATCTATCATTCTCCCGATACACTATGTAACTAGAGAATGGGCAAAAGAGGATTTATATTCAAAGGCTGACACTGAAGCTAGCTTGATTTTCAATGAGGATGTCTGGAGGCCAGATTGATTAATGTAGAAGATACTCAAGCAGTCTGTGTGTGGGATATATATAGGTTAATAAGGTTCCAATTGCTTAGTCTCAAACCATTGTCCATTTGAAATCATATGAAGAAGTCCACTGAACTTCTTAGTTAGGAGACCTCAACATTTTCTCAGACACACCAGTTGCTGGATCTCTACCCACTCAGAAGCCAAGCTGGAATTGAGAGAAATTCTCTATTGGGATGAAGAATGCCCTGGTTCTAGGTGAACACGTCCAGAAAATTTCTGATCATGTGACAGGCAATGGCCTCAGTTAAGAGAGAAAGGTGAGCTGTCACCATCTGCACTTCTGACCAAAATATTCAGATATATTAAGGTGATTAATTTAATGACTTTTTTCAACAATAAAGGTAATTTTTCCCTTTGTTGTCAATACCCATTTCTATTGTTTATACTTTAAAATCCCTACGGAATGTCTCCAATAAAACTAATATTTTAATTTTCCCCTTTCATATACACAAAACTCCTAATTACAAATAGTTTCCAAGACAACACAGCACTCTCCTAATTACATGTCATAATCCAATGTATAGGGTAAAGAAAATAATTTACAGAAGGAGAAAAATACTTCAAAAGAAACAAGTTACACCTAAGCTTTTGAAGGCTTTCAGAATGTACTTAGTTACAACTAACTACTAAGCAAGTTAGTTAAAACTCCTAGTATATCCTTAAGAAACACTGAAACTTTATGATCATATCAGTAAGTTATCAGCAATATGTTATACAAGTTCCTTACAGAACTGTAAAATACACACAACTATTAAAACTTACCTATTATAATATCTGCCTCCCATCATAAACTGATTGCTTGATGTTGGACATATTTTAAAACGTTGAATATTTTCACTGGTCCGAAAATAAAGTGAATAATCACCAGGTGTATTATCTGAAGGCCTCACAAGAAAACTGCACACCTGACCAACTGAAAAGATATAATAATACAGCATTATTAACTGTTACTTGTGTCACTTATGAGCTCTTATCAAAGCTCTTTCTGTACAAATTAGCAAGAATTGCACACATAAAGTCTGATCTAAGTTCCAACAGTGATCCCCATTCTTCCCCCAAAAAGGATGAAGTAGTACTAAACTGCCAAAGTTAATGCCAAATCATTTGGCTGTAGGTGACAACCTATCCCAAACTTTTGTCACCTCTTTACAAGAGCATATGGTGTGCATATGAGTTTTGACAATATTTTCAAAAAAACTAAATATTTTTGTTCTCATATTTAAGGTATGTTATTTGGCAGTATGAGTATGAAATCTTGATGTTTTCATTTAAAAAAATATTTCCTCTATGAGGAGACTAAAGTTTAATACATTCTTCCATAAGTATATAACAGCATCAAGCCTTCCAGAGTTCAAGAAGTGTTTGGACAACATGCTCAGGCACATGGTGATTCTTGGGGGATGGTTCTGTGCAGGGCCAGGAGTCGGACTCAATGATCTTTGAGGGTCCCTTCCAACTCAGAATATTCTGTAATTCTGTGAACAGTATTTTCTCCTCAGTATTTTAATGAAGCCCGAGATATATTTATGTATATTACAAAAATTTTTTGAAAATTAGCTATTTCAATCAGAATTCTGAAACTAACTTTACTTGAGAACATTAAAAAAAACACTCAATGCTCAGCCATGAGGTTTTTTCCAATGTAGTAGCAACCACAGATCTGATGCTCCTATGTTCATACAGAAGAAAAAACAGGTTTTCCTGCAGTCTCAAAGGATTAATTTGTCTCATTCCCCTACCACTGTATTTCCATCTGAAATAAAAGTACCTGTCATCAGTAAATTGTAAGCGTCTTGTTTGGAGATCTTCCCATGGAACCATCTTAAAGATAAAGAGAAAAATTAGAAAGCAAAATTATCAGCTCTCTTTTTTAGTAGGTGTGACATCTAAGACTCTGACATCTATGAATTAATCTCTGGTACATATGAATGAATTTTTGTTTAAAAAAATCTAGCAAATATAGATTATATAAGCAACTGTTATGTTATTTAGCAATTCTGTTTTTCTACCAACAGAATGAAAAATAAATATCTACATCTATATAAACTTGAGTACAGGTGTCCAACACAAAGCAGATGTTCAAATCCAAATGTGTTTAGAGATTAAAGGCATTGTTTGAATGCTAGATAATGACAGGAGTATTTGAAGCCAGTCTCAGATAGCAATTTATTTGAAGCATGAAATACAAAGCCCAAGGACATTAATGAAAGTTAAATACTATACAGAATAACTAAAATTGAATTTCGCTAGAAGCTGAGGAAATAAACTCCAGTTTTATTAACTGCTGAATAAGAATCGCTTTAGTTTCCTTCATCAGATCATCATCCAAAAAAATACAGCAATCTATCCAGTCTTCAACCCGATTATAGGAAACAGCTTGATGTTGCACAGGTATTCAGTTTACATGTGACATACCACATGCTTCATCTTGAGAGCTCATCCTGCCTTTTAAAGGAAAGCTAGAAATAGGGCCTTTCATTGCAGAGTGGATATGTACATGCATGCATGTTTAAGTGTGTCCTTAGTAACAAAGGGGTCCAGGAAGGCTGGACATACTTTAAGATAGAAATTGTAAAGTTGCAAGAGCAGGCTGTCCCTGCGTGCCTAAAGACAAGCTATCAGGGAAGAAAACTGGCCTGGTTGAACAGGGAGCTTTCACAGAAACTCAGGTTAAAAAAAAAAAAAAGTGAGTTTATGACCTTCGGAAGAAGGGGCAGGCAACTCAGGAAGAATACAAGGATGTTGTTAGGTCATGCAGAGGGGATTAGAAAGGCAAAAGCCCAGCTGGAATTCAATCTGGCTACTGTCATAAAAGACAATAAAAAGTATTTTTACAAATGCATTAACAACGAGGCCCAAGGAAAATCTCCATCTTTTATTGGATGTGGGGGGAAAGATGGGATGGACACATTGTTCCCAAGGATGAGGAAAAGGCTGAGGTACTTAATACCTTCTTTGCCTCAGTCCTTAACAAAGACTGGTTATCCTCAGGGTACCCAGCCCCCTGAGCTGGTAGACAGGGGCAGGAAGCAGAATAGATCCCCTGCAATCCAAAAGGAAGCAGTTAGTGACTTGCCGAGCCACTAAAACACTCACAAGTCTATGGAGCCTGATGAGATTCACCTGAGGGTACTGAGGAAGCTGGTCGAAGAGCTTCCTAAGATGCCCTCCATTATTTATCATCAGTCCTGGTGAAACATGGAGGTCCCAGATGACTGGAGGTTGGCCAATGTGATGCCAATCTACAAGAGGATCCAGGGAATTACAGGCCTGTCAGCCTGACTAACATCATCTGGAGTGCCATCACACAGCATGTGCAGAAAAAACAGGTGATCAGGCCTAGCCAACATGGGTTTAGGAAAGGCAGGTCCTGCTTGACCAATGTGATCTGCTTCTCTGACCAGGTGACCTGCCTGGTGGATGAGGGAAAGGCTGTGGATATTTTCTGCCTGGACTTTAGCAAAGCCTTTGATACTGTCTCCAACTGCATTCTCCTGGAGAGGCTGAAGCCCATGGCTTGGACAGGTACCCTCTGATGGGAAAAAAACTGGCTGGATGGCCAGGCCCAGAGAGTGGTGGTGAATGGTGCTACAGCCAGTTTATATCTGGTCACTAATGGTGTTCCCCAAGTCTCAGTGCTGGGGCCAGTCCTGTTTAATATCTTTATAATCTGGATGGGAGGATCAAGTGCACCCTCAGTAAGTTTGCAGACTACACTGAGTTGGGTGGGAGTGTTGATCTGCTGGAGGGTAGGAAGGCTCTGCAGAGGGATCTGGACATGCTGGATCAATGAGCCAAGACCAACAGTGTGAGGTTCAACAATGGCAAGTGCCAGGTCCTGCACTTGGGTCAAAACAACCTCATGTGGCGCTACAGCCTAGGTTGACATCTGGCTGAACATAAGCCAGCGTGTGCCCAGGTGGCCAAGAAGGCCAATGACATCCTGGCCTATATCAAAAATAGTGTAGCCAGCAGGACCAGGGTAGTGATTTGCCTCCCTGTATTCAGCACTGGTGAAGCCACACCTCAAATACTGTGTCCATTTCTGGGCCCCTCACTGCAAGAAAGACATTGAGGTGCTGCAGCGTGTCCAGAGAAGGGCAACAAAGCTGGTGAAGGGTCTAGAGAGTAAGTCCTCTGAGGAGTGGCTGAAGGTACTGGGGTTGTTTAGCCTGGAGAAGGGGAGGCTCAGGGGAGACCTTACTGCTCTCTACAACTACCTGAAAGAAGGTTGCAGCCAGGTGGGGATTGGCCTCTTCTACCAGGTAACAAGTGACAGGACAAGAAGACATAGCCTCAAGCTGTGCCAAAGGAGGTTCAGGTTGGACATCAGGAGGAATTTCTTCACAGAAAGGGTACTTACACATTGGAATGGGCTGCCCAGGGAGGTGAGAGTCACCCTCCCTGGAGGTTTTCAAGAAAGACTGAATGTGGCACTTAGTGCTCTGGTCCAGTTCACAATATGGTGATCAGTCAAAGACGGCTCAATCTCAGAGGTCTTTACCAACTCAAATGATTCTGTGAAATAGCCCAAAATGGGACCAAACTAGGGCCTTAAAGGGAAAGCTGCACCAGGAGAGGTTTAGATGAGATATTAGGAAAAATTTCTTTGTGGAAAGGGTGGTCAGGCATTGAAACAGGCTGCCCAAGGAAGTGGAGGAGTCACCATCCCTGGAAGTGTTCAAAAAATGCATGGATATGGCACTTGAGGACATGATTTAGTGGTGAATATGGTGGTGGTACTGCTGGGTTGATGGTTGGACTTGATCTTAGAGGTCTTTTCTAACCTTAACGATTCTGTGATTTTGTGTAAAACAAAGCCTCTTACACATAAAAAAGAGCCCTAGTTCTAACAGTTCTAACTTGCTTTCTATATTACCTTTACAGGAAAATCGCTGGCTATTGGAATATTTACAGAAATCCCTGCCTCCCCTGGAATCTTCTGAGCAGCATGAGTGACTGAATTGAGTATCCAAGCTTCAAGATTCGCTACAAACTACTTTGTTTTAAAAAAAAAAAAAGTTCCTGTATTTGAAGGCATCCCTACTACTGTAAGGCTGCTATACCAAACTGACTAGCACAACTTTGAAAATCTGTAAACTGAAGCTACACACCAACAATTTTCTTTCCCCTAATAGGAACAAAAACAAACAATCAAGAAAACACCACCAGAAGAAATGCCTTCTTCTAACATCAGTCCTTTGGAGACTGCAAACTGGGTAAAAAATACAGAAAGCAGAAGCTGCAATTATTGCAAGCAAATAGAGGACAGATTAAGTTATCCAGCTACTAGAAATTTTCTGTAACTTTCATTCACTGCTCATCTTTACAACAGGAAATCATATAACAATCAAGTTTCCTGTATCAATTCATTGTTCATTGTAAATTGTATTAGTTTTTTTAATTATTTAACAAGTTGGAAATCACTGCAAACAAATTATTTTAGTGTCTCCTGGTTTTCATTTAAAGTGCTAGCACATGAGGCTAATATCAAGTGTTACTATTATACTATCATTCCTCTAAATGATACTTTGATCCCTCTCCTGCAGTTAGAGTTAAGCAGACCTGAAAAAAGGTTACCTCTAAGCTAAACTGTATGTGTATAAAAAATCCCCACAAATCAGAAAACACCACATCCTCCAGTGAATATATTCTAGGTAAAGTGATCACAGAGACTCATTCAAGATTTTCACTGCAAAACCCATTAACATTAGGCATAACTAATACAAGACTTCATGTCAATGACCTATGCAACTTCAACAGCTAAAATAGAAGAAAAGTCTAAAGATTAAAAAACAAGTACATTCAACTTTGGTTCACCTTCCCAATCTCATAGCTAAAGTTTACAAACAGTTTTTTTATGATTTGCTTTAAAAAAAAACAAAAAAATCCTTACATTTTTCCTTCATGTGGATCTTCTTCTCTTCCCTAATAGGAAAATTAACATATTAAGTACATGATGACAGTATGCTTGAGTTTAGAAAAGTAAACTTCATAGGTTAAGACCTTCTGTAGAAATAACACTAAGCAGTCCAAGACATTTTTGAACTAGATGGCTTATTGCACAGTTCATGTAAAGAGGTTTTCAACTTCATTCACTGGAATTCAGTGGAAATTGAGCCATAACACGTTATTTCAAAGGACTGTTTCTGTCACTCTTCAAGTCCTTCTTTACGTGTGGTAACTTAAATCTAAACTTTTGTGAACTTCAACCACTAATGTAGAAAATTATAGTTAGATACTCTAACACTACCTTTTCAATTTAGCCATTCACATCCTGATACAGATATGAGAACAGGTGAAGCAAACTTTATTAATAGCAATATACATATGCTGCAAAGCAAACATCATCAAGACTCCAAAGCAATGGTGAACTACTTTGGAAAAAAAGCATGTGGGAGGGTGGGGTGGGTGTTTTTGTCCATTAAATAATCTCTTATCTTGCAGTAAATCAATTTCAATTATCTTTGTCACCTGATTAGCTTCCTGACTTAGCATAAGCCCTTCTACGTATAATTAACTCATCAGAATTTTGATATTCACACTTGGCCCTTAAAAAAAACAAAAACAAAGACATTTGGCAAAATTTAAGTCTATACATGTATGAATATTTCAAAGCAAACAAACAAACAAAAAGAATATAACTGAATTACTAGCAAGTTATTTATCAGGACTGGTGAGTTTAGGAAACTGCTTAAAAAGTTCACAGTATCATTCATTTGCACATGAGCTTTTTTGGATAACAAGGAGGGGTACTTTGGATATTAAATTAGACAATGTTTGTTTAACTACTTAAAAGCTGGCAGATTCAAATACAGCAAGAAGGTTTAGAAAAGTAGAAAGAGTCAGACAGCTAAATAACACTAGTTTGGTTTAATTTCAATGTTAACTTCTACACACAACTAACAAAAAATAAAAATCAAATCTCAGTTCTGTAGCAGCCACAGGGCCTGCAAGGCCTCCCTGGCAGTCACTTGCCTAAGATAAGAAATGCCTAGTCATGATGACTGGACCTAAGAAGCCCCTCTTCTGCCTTTGGACACTCGTTATCTCTCTGTAAGATGATAGGTCATATCTGCCTCAACCCTTACTATTGGATTGTTTCCCAAAATGCCTATACCCTATATAAACACCCACTTCTGCCCAATTCTGCAGAAGAGCTGTCACTGTGACCCTTCGCAGAAGCTGCCAATAAAGACACTTCTGTGGAACCTCATACAGCTCTTCTCCTCTCTCTCCCTGCGTCTGCCACGGCACTTAGCAAGCAAAGAGCTGAAATCACTAAAGAGCTGAATTCACCAAAGAGCTGAGCTGCTTGCTAAGATTGCCTGAGTCTGGGAGCCTGCCTGAGGGACCCGGACAGGTTGTGCTTAGCTGGACTTCGCTATCTGGACATCTACGGCAGCTGGGGTTGGAGAGACCCCGAAAACCCCTGCCGTAATAAAAACAGTTCTGCGACAGATTTGAATATAAAATTACTTACCACTTCTTCTACCAGGTCTTCTACTATAAGACCTTGTTCATCTGTACGTAGGTTTGTAACCCACATCCAGCCATCTTCTAATTCATTATGCACGATAAGCATATCTCCTTTAAGGAAACTGAAGAGAGTTACAGCAACACATATGTTAGAAGTACAAGCATATTACAAAGTTTAATGAACACAGTGAATTCTTGAGAATAGTTTCAGAAAAACATTTGAGAAAATCTGACCATGAAAGATATATTTATTGGTATCCCAAGTACACCATATGCATTTTTCACACAGTTTAAGTAGGTACGAATACCACATGAATGTTAATCTTTCTTTATTTTACATTTAGAATCTAATAGATACTCTAAAGTATGCTAAGGATGCATAAAACAAAAAACACAACAACATTAGAAGATAGTAACATTCTTTTATCAAGAGGGACCAAATACTAAGCACAGGTAAAAACAATCAAAGATTTCCTTAATAGTCTAAAAAAATAATATTTCTGTCAAAACCAAGATTTGTATAATAAAGCCTATGGAATATCTACTATTTAAGTATTTGGTTATGAAGATAAGTGCTAAAAAGTAGATACAGAACAGTTCCTCAAGAAGACATGCAAACAACTACAAATAAGAATATAAATACAAAGCATTAAAACATTCAAAGGAGTTTCATTACTGGGAAGTTAGTATAAATTATTCTTAAAGTGTAATCCCAAACTCAGGTATACTGGCTATCACTAGAATAAATTTCTTCATAGTAGCTCCTATGGGGGGACAGACAGCGTTGTTAGGGACTGGCTGGCATCAGTCTGTTGGTAGTATGCAACTGTTTTCATTTGCATAACTTGTTTTTCTTGGGTTTTATTTCCCTTTCTCTTTGACAGATGGTGGGTAGATTTTTTCCCCTTACAAAATGTTTAAAAAAATTTTATTTTTAATGATTAAAACTGTCTTGATCTCAACTCACGGCTATCTCATTTTTACCCTTCCAATTCTTCCCCCATCCTACCAGGAGGGAGGGAGCAAGAAGCTGTGGGATGCTTAGCTGCTATCTGGAGTTAAACCAAAACAGTCCTTTCTGGTACCCAACAGGGTCCTCAAAGGGTTTGAGATAATAACAGATTTTACCAGAAGGTATTAGAAGTAACTTATATCTCTTAACAGTTGTTGGTCCCGATATTGATTTATCAGTTTTAAACATTAGTTTATCTGATCTGTGCCATGCTCTTTTTTTTACTGTACATGATAAAGACTGGTTTTGGCTTTTGCAGTTTTCTGTGCACTCTAGCACTTAGTGGTTGCTCTGGTTTGAAAGCAAAACCAGTGAGAGACTCCAAGTCAGAAATACAGTTTATTAGGAAAAGGGAAAAGAAAACCAAAATACATGCAACAATACAAAAGACAAACCACTGACAAAGTCAGAATACAACCTGACACCCTGTTGGTCGGGGGGTTGGTAGCAGTCCAGTTGGATTGGTGGCTGCAGTCTTCCTGGAGTGGCAAATGTGGTTCTGTTGGAGCAGTGATCCTGTAGAAAGGGTGTAGTCTTCCTCTGAAGATCCAGTGGAAAAGACAGCCATTCCTCTGGGAATCCAGTGGAAAGACTGACTGTTCTGTCCCAAATCCCAGATTATATCCAGGTGGGGATGCTTAGCTCCTCCCCCCTGGGCAGAGCATCTCACAATGGGCTGTTATCATTCTATGACTCACATGGCAGGTCCATTAAACAGAAATGGCTCCTGGAGGGAGTTACCTCTGAGTCATGTGGAAAAGCATTGATGGGCCCATTAACAGGAGATAAGAAAAAAAACAATGCCCCTCCTGGTTTCAACAGCTCTTGAGGATGGGAATAGAATATATCTTAATATTGTAACCTAGGACATAATCCACCCCTTATTCTATTACCATCTATACCCAAACCAATATCCTCTTACATATATATATATATATATACAGAATGAAACTTTAGACACAGTTCTCGCTTAAAATTAGGTCTCCTTGTGGTACACAATGGGTTTCCCTGTCCTTCTGCATTACCCACCAAGTGTAACCAGGTCCTTGAGAAAAAACAATCCCACGGATGGGTTTGCCCCTGCCTGTGGTGGGATTAATCCAAACTGTCTTTCCTAAAATACCTTTCACGTGTATCACAGGATCTTTGTCTCCATCCACTGTGTGCAGGCGTTCAGACTGGGCAGGACCAGATCGACTGATGGACCCTCAGGTGTTGACCATCCAGGTGGCTTTTGCTAAGTTCAATTCCCAATTTCTGAAGGTTCCCCTGCCAAGTGCCTTCAGGATAGTCTTAAGTAGTCCGTTGCACCATTCAACTTTCCCGGCAGCTGGTGCATGATAAGGGATATGATATATCCATTCAATACCACAATCTTTGGCCCAGGTGTTTATAAGGCTGTTCTTGAAATGGGTTCCGTTGTCCGACTCAATTCTCTCAGGTGTGCCATGTCTCCACAGGACTTGCTTTTCTAGGCCAAAGATGGTGTTCTGGGCAGTAGCATGAGGCACAGGGTAGGTTTCCAACTATCCTGTGGTTGCTTCCACCATGGTCAGTACATAGCACTTGCCTTGGCATGTTTGGGGAAGTTTGATGTAGTCAGTTTGCCAGGCTTCCCTATACCTGTACTTCAACCATCGCCCACCGTGCCACAGAGGCTTCACCCACTTGGCCTGTTTGATTGCAGCACAGGTCTCACAGTTGTGGATGACCGGTGAGATGTTGTCCATAGTAAGGTCCACCCCTTGGTCACGGGCCCATCGGTATGTTGCATCTTTACCCTGATGACCAGAGGCATCATGGGCCCAACAACCTAGGAATGATTCTCCCTTGTGCTGCCAGTCTAGATCCACATGTGATACTTTCACCTTGGCAGCTCGGTCCACCTGCTCGTTGTTGTGATGTTCTTCATTAGCCCGACTCTTGGGTACGTGCGCATCCACATGTCGAATCTTCATGGTCAGCCTCTCTACTCGGGTGGTAATGTCCTGCCAAATCTCGGCGTCCCAGATGGGTTTCCCTCTGCGCTGCCAGTTGGCCTTTTTCCAGCGATCCAGCCATCCCCACAGAGCATTAGCTACCATCTATGAGTCAGTATAGAGATAGAACCTCAGCCACTTCTCTCGTTCAGCAATATCCAAAGCCAGCTGGACAGCTTTAAGCTCTGCAACCTGACTCGATCCACCTTGTCCCTCAGTGGCCTGTGCAACTCGTTGTGTGGGGCTCCATACTGCAGCTTCCATTTCCGGTTAGTGCCTACAATTCGGCAGGGACCATCAGTGAAGAGGGCATATCATCATTCAGTCTCTGGTAGCTCATTATATGGTGGGACTTCCTCGGCACATGCCACCTGCTCCTCTTCTTCTTCAGAAGATAATCCAAAAGTCTCTCCTTCAGGCCAGTTTGTTATAATTTCCAGAATCCCAGGGCGATTTGGATTTTCAATACGGGCGCGCTGAGTGATGAGGGCAATCCATTTGCTCCATGTGGTGTCGGTGCCGTGATGTGTGGAAGGAACCTTTCCTTTAAACATCCACCCCAGCACTGGTAGCCGAGGTGCCAGAAGCAGCTGCGTTTTGATGCCGATTACTTCTGAGGCAGCTTGAACTCCTTCATAGGCGGCCAAGATTTCCTTCTCTGTGGGAGTGTAGTTTGCTTCAGAGTCTTTGTAGCTCCAGCTCCAGAATCCCAGCGGTTGACCCTGAGTCTAACCAGGCACCTTCTGCCAAAGGCTCCAGGGCAGACCATGGCTCCTGGCTGCAGAGTAAAGCACATTCTTCACCTCTGGTCCCGTCCTGACTGGGCCAAGGGCTACCGCATAAGTAATCTCCTGTTTGATCTGGGTGAAGGCTTGTTGCTGTTCAGGGCCCCAGTGGAAATCATTCTTTTTGCAGGTGACCAGGTAGAGAGGGCTCACAATCTGGCTGTACTCAGGAATATGCATTCTCCAAAAAGCTATGGCACCTAGGAAAGCTTGTGTTTCCTTCTTGTTGGTAGGTGGAGACATAGCGGTGATCTTGTTGATTACCTCTGTCGGGATCTGACAATGTCCATCTTGCCACTTGACTCCTAGAAACTGAATTTCTTGAGCTGGTCCCTTAACCTTGCTTTGCTTAATGGCAAAACCAGCTTTCAGCAGAATCTGGATAACCTTCTCTCCTTTTTCGAAGACTTCCCCTGCTCTGCTTCCCCATACAATGATGTCATCAATATACTGTAGATGTTTGGGAGCCTCACCTTTTTCCAGAGTGGTCTGGATCAGTCCATGGCAGATGGTGGGTATGTGCTTCCACCCCTGGAGCAGTTGGTTCCAGGTGTACTGCACTCCCCTCCAGGTGAAGGCAAACTGAGGCCTGCATTCTGCTGCCAAAGGAATGGAGAAGAAGGTGTTGGCAATATCGATGGTCACATACCACTTTTCTGCCTTGGACTCCAGCTCGTACTGAAGCTCCAACATGTCTGGCACGGCAGCGCTCTGTGGTGGTGTGGCCTCATTCAGGCCATGGTAATCTACCGTCAGTCTCCATTCTTCACTGAACTTGCGCACTGGCCAAATGCGGCTGTTGAAGGGCGAATGGGTCTTGCTGACTACCCCTTGGCTCTCCAGTTTACAAATCATCTCCTGCATGGGAATCACAGAGTCTGTGTTGGTACAATATTGCTGATGGTATACTATTGCTGTGGCGATTGGTACCTGTTGTTCTTCAACTCTCAGCAGTCCCACAGCAGAGGGGTCGTCTGAGAGACCAGGGAGACCAGGCAAGGTATTCAGTTTTCTGATGTCTTCTGTCTCTACAGCAGCTATCCCGAAAGCCCAGCGATGTCCTTTTGGATCTTTGAAACATCCATTTCTGGGACAGTCTATGGCAAGGATGCATGGAGCCTCTGGGCCAGTCACAATGGGGTGCTTCTGCCACCCGTTCCCAGTTTAACTCACTTCGGCCTCCAATACAGTCAGCTGCTGGGATCCTCCTGTTACCCCAGAAATAGAAGTGGATTCTGCTCATATGTACCTTGATGGCATCAGGGTACATTGGGCACCGGTGTCAACCAAAGCCGTATATTTTTGTGGGTAAGATGTGCCAGGCCATCGGATCCACACAGTCCAAT